AGCAAGGGACATAATAGATAAAGATAACACTTCCAGCCACCAACCCTCGAACCAGCTGGAGAATCAATCACTTTAGAAAAAGCAATATGATTCGATGATCGTGTAGTGGGTCTAAATGAGCCAAACATATATAATTTACCAAAAAGTAAATATTCTTGAGGACGGTGTCGGTGTTACAAGTTCCATTTTCAAATACTACTGAATATTCTGAGTTAACCAATTGTCCTACACTCAGCGGATTATGAGCCATCTTTGGCACATATTGCACATCACATAAGAGCTTGGTATTGCTTTCATCGATCAATTGTGATAGCAACTGTACCCCTGTCTGAGGCCGAAGCCTTCACCTCGGGATAGATGGACATTCCATACAACGTTCCTCAACGCCCAATTACTGCATTTAATGATGTGCCACGTGCCTGCATCCGCACCACAGGTGGGCTCTCCGCCATGGATTAGCTTATACGTGTGTGTGCATTTAATGCACCTAGCATTTATGACTAGTATAAATAGCAACCCTTTAGGCGGATGTAACGGACCACTGCTCATTTATTACGATTGCTCTCTCTCTCTCTCTCTCCCGCCTTATTTAATAGCTTTTCCTTCTCTCTAGATACAACTAGCGATATCCCGATATTAACTATCTATCAGAGAGTTCTTGCAGAATTTGGGTGAGACAGTTGTTGCCATGTGGGGAGGCAAAGAGGAGGCGAGTGTGAGAGAACCAATAACAGGAATATCTAGTTGAAAGGTCTATGATTGTGGAAGAGCCAAAAAGTGTGGAAGTGGCAGGCCTGGGATTCTAGGCTTGCCTGGGTGTTCTCCGAAAGTTTATTTCTTTAAGTGCTCCGTTTTTGTTATCTTTTTTTCGTTTATGGATTTTGGATTTTTTTTGTTGCATTTTGTTTGCGCGGGTTGACTCTTGTTTGGTTTTTATTTTTGTTGTGGGTCAAGTTCAGAATAGGATAAGTGACAACTGACAACCCACAAGGATACTAGATCGATCATGGTTATCTTAAATTGCTCATATTACTCCTGAGTAGGTAATTGACTCATAACCGAGTCTAATCCAAGGCGTATGATCAAGTTTTGTTTTCTGGTTTTACGGACTTGTCTCTAGAGTCTGGTCTTGATGTTACCTCTTTAGATTATGATATTTTAATATAAGTTGATTTACCTCAAAAAAGGTAATTGCAATTATTATACTTTCGTTAAAGTAAAATGATTTCGGTAAAAAGGTAATTGCAATTATTATGCTTTCATTAAAGTAAAATGATTTCGGTAGAGCATTTGTGAAATTAAGCTTTTTGTTCACTTTATTATGTACTCCCTCCGTCCCCTTTTAAATGGGACGGGAGATGGTGGCACGGGTTTTAAGAAAAGTGAGTTTGTGTGGTTGATATTAATTGATAAAGTAAGAATAAAGTAAGAATGATTTTGAGCCACACAAAGTTTACCAAATAAGGTATGAGGCAATTAAATAGGGACATCCCAATATAGTAAAACAGGACATTTAAAAAGGGACGGAGGGAGTACTCCGTATTACTTTATGATGTCCGTATGTTGTAATATATGACACAATTCTATTTCGTCAAGTATGATGAATATAATATTTTAACTTTATTGCATACTACTCCCTCCGTCCCAATATAAAAGGCACATTTGCGTTTCCACACATTTTTAGGGTGAACACTGTTTGACACTGTTTAGACACTGTTTGGCACTGTTTGGACACTATTTGGCACTGTTTTGTTTGCCAAAAAGGGAAATATGCCTTTTATATTGGGACGGCCCGAAAAGGAAAGTGTGCCTTTTATATTGGGATGGAGGGAGTATCTTTTTTTCTTTTAGTTGAAATTTTTACACTATTTACATATTTCACTTTCACTACATTTTATTTATTAGTAGTTCAAAAGTGTTTTTTCAAAATATTGGTGAATTTATCTCATTAAAATTTACAAATTTTCATAATCTGTTTTTTTAATTTTTTTAGTAATAGAGAAATAAATATAATGAATATCAAAATCGTGCATTAACAAATGTAAAAAACATAAAAATGTTGCGTATTTGTATAATCAAGTATAAGACACAAAAAGTATGTATTAACAACGTTCAACTATAAACATATGCTTCATTAATCATTCAATTGGACAAAAAATATATTGTTGAGCATCTTTGTTTCCTTGACCATGTACATCTCACTCATCTTTTGAAAGTCATCTTGGCATTTCATCATACTTTTTGAACATCATCTTGTGATAATTCTTTTGTTAATAAGATGACTCGTCTACAAGTGAGTCATGTAACTTTACTTAGATATGTCGATATGTTAATCGAGGAAAGGATAGAAAGAGTACATCAATTTGTATGAGATGGAGTAAAGAGTATAATATACTGCATTTGATATTTCTAAGTACACAAAATCGGGGTTTTAGTGTTAATTGAGTAGAACCTTTAGATTAACACCTTAATACGACTGAGTTGACTAACGAAATGCTAATAGGTTGACTTCATGAAGGTCGAAGCCAACCCTTAGCCCATTGGTTGACGCCAATCCCTGCAAGTGGACTTCTCTTTGGTCAATACACCCAAACGCGGAGATCGGTACCCCCGCAGGTCGACGTCAAAACCTTGCTCGACTTGCCCCTCTTACTCAGCATTTCGTTAGCGAACTTAGCCATATTTATGTGTTAATCTAACATGTGTACTCAATTAACACTGAAAAACCCAATTTGTGTACTTAGAAATATCAAATGCAATATAATGTATTCTTTACTCCACTTCATACAAATTGATGTACTTAATCGACCATTTCCTCTATGTTAATCGTAAGGATCACTTAACGTTGTGAGTCATGTAAGGATGTTTTTACTTGGACTGTAATTTGCCCCAGACCAGACCAGACTAGACTTGGGTAGTTATAAAAATACAAAGAAACCAGATCAGACCAGAACAGACCAGACCAGTACAGTCCAAGTAAAAACATCCTAACTTTACTTAGAGATCACTTAAGTAATACTCCTAACAAATAACTTTGTATTCTATCAATATCAATAAATGCTTTTACGCAAGATAGTTCATTTTGTGAGCCAAGCAATAAATGACTCGTCTGCAAGTGAGTACAGTCGAACAATAGACCTAAACATAAGTGGGAGAACTCAGAACCCCTTTGGTGGCATGACCCTAGTTTTCGCTATGAGTTTTATCGACCAGTTTTTTCTTCACGTATGTTTTGATTTTGTACCTTGAATTGTGTAATAATAAGAAAAAACAAGGTTGAAGTTACATTTCATTTTAGCTATTTTTCATATAATTTTTTCTTTACTTTATTATCAAATCAAAATTGATGGAGTTATGGGACTAGGCCCAGAGCCAAATCGGCCCAGAGCCCCGAACTTGGACCCGTGGATCCAGATCCACAACCTGGAGCATGCCTACCACCCCAACGGGGAGTCTGCCAGTCCGGCCGACCTGCCAGCCAGGAAAAATAACGGTCAAGCAATCAATGCGTTGTTTAATTATGTATTTAATTCCGTATTAATATTGTAATTAATTAGTCATTAATATTGTAATTCAGATTATGAGGCGAAATCCTAAATGCTATTTCTGGCTCTCAAACTCTCTAGCTACTTTCCATATTCGTATTACTTTCTACTTTCCTGCTTGAGTGTTCTTTCGTAGCTTTCCTAAAAGTCTACGAGCGTCCTATTTTGGACCAACAAAAATATTGGCAGAAAATAAAATAAAAATATCGATCACTAATAAAAACACTAATTATCGAGATAGTAATACATGAATCATTATTTATTTAGGGAAAAATACGGAAAATGTACTTGTGGTTGGGCACGTTTTCAGATAGAGTCATGTGTTTCATTTTTTGTCACAAGAGGGTCCTGGCGCCTGACACTGTTAGAAATCGTCAGAGGGAGACGATGAACAGTAACTCCGATTTTCAAAAGTGCCCGGAAAATTAAAAGAAAAATATCGGAAGATGCGCCTCAACAAGACGACCGCTAGGCCATCTTTCTTTTTTGTTTCCAGTCATTCTAGTCATCGGAAAGTTCACCAAAAAAGTGATATTAGCGAATTCTTTTTTAAAAAAATAATCCAAAGAAATCCAAAAAAATCCTAAGACAAAGGTGGTTTGGAGGTTATCTTGACGAGGCACACCTTCCAGTATTTTTCTTTTAATTTTTTGAGCACTTCTGAAAATCAGAGTTACGGGTCATCATCTTCCTCAAGAATTTTTAACGGTGTGACCCTCTTGTGATAATGGAGTTCAATCACATGAACTACTATGATTAAAAAAAAATGAAACACGTGACTCTATCTGAAAACGAGCCCAACTACAGGAACATTTTCCGTAATTTTCCCTAATTTTTTTATAATCCAAAATCAGCCAATCCAGTCATTTCAGCCAGAACTTCATAAATTTCAGCAGAATTAGCCGATTCAACCAATTTTAGTGTTACCAAACGGTGTTAAAGTATTTGTCCCGCACCGAAAAGCTATAAAACAATAAAACACTATATAAGACTTTGAACTACTCTTCCTATCAAAGTCCTTAACAAACGGGCTCTAAATCTACAATTTTATGTATTACTCCCTCTGTCTCATTTTACCTGTCTTACTTTTTTTTGAGTTGTCCCAAAATAAGTGTCACATTTCCTTTTTGGAAAGAAATGTGATTCACAACATTTCACTTTACTATAATCAAATATCAACCACAACTTTTACATTTTCAACTATTTTATTAAAAATTGTGCCAAAATCAAAGGTGACACATAAAATGGAACCGAGGTGGTAGTAAGATATACTCTGTAATTAAAAAGTCAAAAAAAAACATTGAACTTATTTTGGACAGATGGAAGTATTTTCTTTTTCTTAAAATACCTAGCTTCCAAATTAAAGCTAAAGAAATGTCACACTGCCACCATAGAAGGATGGAGTACTATAAATATATAATCATATATCTCGATCTGATCTCCATTCTAACTTCTAAGGCTCACTTACGTTAAAACAAATCACATACCCCTAACTAAAATGGCCGAAAATGGTGTCTGTTGTGCTGCTATGTATCTTTGCTTAGGTGTTATAGCAGCGGTTCTTGGATTAGTCACAGCATATCAAGTGAAACCGGAAAGGGTATGTACTTAATTATCTGATTGATTTTTATACATGTGTATGCATTTTAGGAGTAGCGTTTCTATCGGGCCAACTCTATGATCCCGTTTGGTAGCACGAAAATCGGCTGTTTTGGCTGATTCTGCTGAAATTTCTGAAGTTCTGTCTAAAGTGGCTGCATTGGCTGATTCTGCTGAAATTTCTGAAGTTCTGTCTAAAGTGGCTGCATTGGCTGATTCTGTTGATTTAAGAAACAATTATTTTTAAAATATATTTTATTAATAAAATAAAAAAAAAAATTATATGTAAAAATAGCTAAAATGGTCATCTACATTAACTTCAGCCAAAACAGCCAGAAAAGTAACTCCAACCTTACTTTTTCCGCTTATTACAACTCAGCGTGCAGAAGTAAAAGTTACGTGTTTGGTGAAAAAGTTGGCTGATAAGCCGAAAAACAATGCTGCCAAACGGCCTCTATATATGACCAAAAATGAAGTTTGCGAGCTTGACGGGAATTCCGTGAGGCTGATCTGATACAGAGATGATTTTAAGGGGGGGGGGGGACCGCCCCCCTTGGACTTTCAATTTTTTTTACTATATATGTAATATTTTCATACTTTAGTTAGATATATATATATATATATGTTTTCGCCCCCTTGATCTTTTAGTTCTCAAAATAAATATATAAGCTCACATGATGTAATACTTAATTGGACATTTAAAATAAGTAAAATCTAAAATAATTTAGATAATTTAAACAAATAAACAATAGAACAACTCATTGTTTAAGATCGACTTAGGATACCTATTATATCAAAATTCTTAGTTTTGTAAAGTTTAATTGTCTTTATTAGATAATTAGTACTCGATATGTAAAATATCAATGATAATATCAGACAGAATAGTTAAACAGTTTTTAGATAATGTAAAGTGAATCCAAAATATAAATGTTTTTTGACACTAAATTACACCATCAATTTACTTCTTACTTTGTAAAAACAATTTGTTGAATAGATAATAAACTTTAACTTATTTTAGCACTAATACAGATATAATATACACCATGTATATTGAATTAACAATACCACGTATCATATTATTCTAAAACTAATAATCTCATACATATTATTGTAATATTAAGAAATTGCAATTCATGAATACCCTCATTCGTAGACAAAAATTGCAATTCAAAAACCGATTTTTTATTCTGATAAGATTCATGTTGTTAAACAAAGCAGAATTTTTTTAAAAAACATCGGTCCATGTGTACTTTTTAAACTCTTTACCTTCAAATAATTTGATAAAATGTTATATCCTTTCTTATATTCAAATAATTTTGTAGAGCACTAACAATTATTAAATCAAAGTTAATTTTCCATTGTCTAAATTAGAATGTAATATAATAGATTTAAATTTCATCGTGTGTTTAGTCATGGAATTTTTTGAACAAAATCTAGCCGCAGAGTCCTACACTAGCGAAAAACTTTCGCCCCGCTACACTTGTAAATTTTTTATTGCCCTGCTACACTAGAGGAAATTTTTTCACCCCTACACCAATGAAAAAAATTTCGCTCCCCTTGACTCGAAATCCTAGATCTGTCCCTGATCTGATATGAACGAAGAACGCCACTCTGTATTTTAGTACTCTGCATATATATATATATATATATATATATATATATATATATATATATATATATATATATATATAGGGCTCTTCTCATCAGGCCGGCCTGACGGGCTGCCCCGTCCGGCCGAGCCCGTTTGGGCACCTTCCCGGTGGAATTTTTTGATGAAATTTTTTTAGCATGTTCCACATCAAGTCTAGTTTGTCCATACCAAATTTCAGCTCAAAATTCGATCCGGAAGGTCGTCAAATGATTTTTGCAAGTTAACTGGTCCGGAAAATACATATTCCGGACCAGTTAACTTGCAAAAATCATTTGACGACCTTCCCGATCGAATTTTGAGCTGAAATTTGGTATGGACAAACTAGACTTGATGAGGACCATGCTCAAAAAATTTCATCAAAAAATTCCACCGGGAAGGTGCCCAAACGGGCTCGGCCGGACGGGGCAGCCCGTCAGGCCGGCCTGACATGAAGTTTCCTCTCTCTCTCTATATATATATATATATATATATATATATATAGGGTTAAGATCGGATACAAAGTGTGCTTCCCATACAAAGTGCAAACTCATCTCATCCATCCAATATGATAAAATAAAGGGTAAGATTTGGCTTGACCATTAAAACTCATCCGTAATAATGGAAGAGTTTTTTATCAACCAAGCATTAAATGCCAACATAAATTTAGTGGGGGAGTAATCCCATCTACACCATTATCTCATTTATACGGATGACCAAGATTAATTTGTACTTTGTAAATTATGATTAGTTTGTATGTGATCCTAAATCTATATATATATATATTAAAGATCAAATGAGAACAAGGCTTAACGTGAGAACATCACATTTACCCTGATGTGAGGCACAATGAGGCTCACCTAATGCACTTTTTCACGTTCAGCATAATATTTACCAAAATGCCACCGTTAATATTTATATTGGCTTGTTTGGAGCAAATTCAAAATGTGCATCAGACAGGCTCTATTGTGTATCACATTTGGTTAAATGTGAGTGTTTTCACGTTAAGCATTGTTCTCATTGGAACCACACCACATATATATACATACATATATATATATATATATATATATATATATATATATATATATATATATATATATATATAAAATAAAGATCAAATGAGAACAATGTTTAACGTGAGAACACCACATTTACCCCAACGTGTTGCACAATGAAGCTTGTATATTGCACATTTTCACATTTTCACAATATTTACCAAACTGCCACCGTGTATATTTAATATAGGCTTAATTCGAGCAAATTGAAAAATGTGCAACAGAATAGCTCTGTTGTGCACCACATTGGTTTAAATGTGAGTTTTCTCACGTTAAGCATCGTTCTCACTGGAACCGCCATATATATATATATATATATATATATATATATATATATATATATAGGGAAAAGATCAAGTACAAAGTGTGCTTATTGTGCAAATATTTGTACGATGCACCTTGACGTTATTTGCATTGCATATTGAGGTTCAAAGTGTTGCACATTATAAAGTCATAAAAATAACAGTTGCACATTAAGGTGCAACGAGTTGCACCCTAAAAAGTTGGGTTTTATTACAAAAATGCCACCTTGCCTTTATGTCCTTTGGATCAACTCATCGGACGGTCAAGATGAGTTTGTACTTTGTAAATTAAGAAGACTTTGTATTTGATCTCTATTCTATATATATATATAGATTTTGGTTCAAATGAGAATGAGTCTTAACGTGAGAACGTGAGAACACATCTCAGCCATCCAAAATCTAAACCCATCTTCGATCAATTAAATAGGAGTAAAGGCTATTTTAGTCCATATTAAACTTGGCCGTTTTGGTAACCGACTTTGTAGTTAATTCGTTTGTCTAAAGCAGTAATGGATTGAATAACTTCCATATTATTTTACTTTATTTCTCACGTCAACAATAATAGAAACAAAATCTCATTCCTTTTTTCAAATTCTCCTTCCATCTTATTTCATTTCTCACGTAAATTGAGTTGTGCAACTATAGAAACAAAATATCATTCATTTTCATTCAATTATTCCTTCAAATGCACATAACCACTATTTTAGTTTTAGATTATAACTGTTATAGGTATTTTATTAGTTATCACAAATAATTCCGTCTCATGCACTAAAACATCATACTAATGCACATAACTTTATCACAAATGATTTCGCCCCATGCACTAAAACATCATACTAGTGCACATAACTTTATTACAAATAATTCTGCCCCATGCACTAAAACATCATATTAGTGCACATAACTTTATACGCTTATACACTTAATTCATTTGCATATTACTGCACAAATCCACTGCAGTAGTGCACACCTATGCTTTGTAAACTCAAATACGGAGTATGTTATTCAATACAAACATGCTCCCACTACTATGTTATTGAACTGCACAATCTCCAGAATTTGCATAACTTTATTTGTGCATTAGATATCAGTTTGTATATACTTCGTATTACATACAACAAGCTTTACTTTCTTTTTGAGTACGAGGTCATCTCATATGCATTAGATATCGGTGATTGTGTGTTAGATACATGTTCTTGTGCATCCGGTAGATAGAAATGTTTGTTGTTTTTTATGGTATGCATCTTATGCATATTTTATTTTTAAAAATTATATATGACATATTGATGTCATATGAAAGAGCATAAAAAATTATTTAATTTGGTATAATTTTTGTTAAAATTGGATTATTATTTAAGAAGTTAAATCAATTTATAAACTAAAGAAATTTATATGATTTGAGATTTATTATTACCTAGTTTTTAGGGAAATGACAACCCCCTCAACCGTATGATTTTTTTTAAATGACTATCAAGTCCATCTAACCTACGTTTAATTAGAAGAGAGAGCATGGTTTTTTTTAAAGTGTTTGCACTTCCATGGTACATCCGTAGATCTACTCCTTTTTTGTCCATTAATTTACTAAGATCTATGGTTAAGATTTGTTCTCACGTTCTCACGTTAAGGGGTGTTCTCATTAGAACCCAACCCTATATATATATATATATATATATATATATATATATATATATATATATATATATATATATATATATATATATATATATATATATATATATATTGGTTCAAATGAGAACACCTCTTATTGTGAGAAATGAGAACAAATCCTAGCCACTCATCTCTCTACATCCGTATACCATTTTAGGGTCTGTTTGCAACTGCTTTTAAAAAAGCACTTTTCAGTTTTTGGCTTTAAAAAGCACTTATTATCCCAAACACTACAACTTTTATTTTTCTCGGCTTGCGCGTCAAAAGTGCTTTTACTTTTTCTATTACACAAAAAGCACTTATTTTACCAAACACTACCCACTTTTACTTTTCAAAATCACTTTTTTCTCAAACACTATCAACTTTTATTTAATCACTTTTCCCCATTTCATTAAAAAAAGCACTTTTTTAAAAGCAGAAGCCGTTGCAAACAGACCCTTAATCATTTATTAATGGGTATTTTAGTAATCATGCATGAGTAGATTAATTTGGTATGTGTTTGACCGGCCACCACTATGTAAGTTTAGCATCGTACGTATTTAATTTTAGATGGAATTTGACTTTTTGAAGCTATATTATATTATATTCAACAAAATAAGTTATTTTGGAAGCAATTAACACATTTTCGTTGTTGTTTCTTTCCATTAATACATATTCATTTCATGTGCGGATGTGCATTAAATAATTATTCTTGTGTATCTACATTGACATGCATCAAAGAATAATTATTAACTCGTGCATCAAATTATGATTTAGTGTATTAAATATTTATTCATTTGTATTTCAACATTTGTCAATTTTTGTGTGTTAGATATTAGGTATTGTGAAATTCAATTAAGTACATATATTTAATGCATCAAACTAGTGTAATTAAACCGTGTATTAAATTGTGATGTATTTTCCATACGTTTGTGCATCAAATACCAATTATTGTGTGTTATATCCTGACTAAGAGTAAAATGTCAATTCATGTGCATTAAACATTGATTGTTGTGTGTTAGATACTGATTTTTATGCGGTACATACTTATTGTACCGCACTACCGCATATACGTATTATGCATTAGAAATCAATTCTTGTGTGTTATATAGTAGCTTAAGTTGCATGAAGTCCTCATGTGTTAAATAATATTAATTAGTTCTGAATTGAATTGTGCCCGAGATACTAATATTTATGCTTAACATACATAGTTCGGTTCTTTATATATGTATTGTGCATTTGTTAATGATTCACGTGCATTATATCTTGTATAATTGTATGAGTTCTTGAATGTTAAATGATCATTCGTATATCATATATATGGCAAGTTCGATTTTATTATTATAAGCTACAACTTTATTTGGTAATCAACTTTAATTGTGTAACGAATTATCATATTTTGGGGAAGCAAAGATACGTAACCCACTAATTCATCATAAATGCTATTTTCACTATGACATTTTTGCCCCTAGATAACCTACGTAAATTAATTTCTTTAGAGATAGATATTATATTTTATGCCTATCCACACCACATTTAGGTGCACGTGAGATCATCCATCCGTTTATTAACTAAGATTAGCGATTAGGATATGTTCTCATTTCTCACAATAAGAGTTGTTCTCATTAGAACCGCTCCTTATATATATATATATGGAGCGGTTCCGGTAAGAACGGATCTTAGGAGAGAAATGAGAACGAATCTGGACCGTTGGATTAAATTATGTGGAACTGAATTGTGCATTTGGTGAAACTGAAATGTGCATTAGATGATATTGAAATGTGCAGAATACAAATTTAAACTCACATGTGCATTAGGTGAAACTGAAATGTGTAGAATAAAACATATAAAAATAACATTACATCGTACCTTTTATTCTGCATATTTTAGTTTCATCTAGTACACATTTCAATTTCACCTAATGCACAATTTAGCTTCACATAATGTCACTACATCGTACCTTTTGTGTTGCACGTTTCAATTTCACCTAATACACATTACAGCTTCATCTAATGCACATTGAATTTCACATAAAGCAAATCTAACGGTCCAGATTCATTCTCATTTTTCTCATAAGATCGTGTTCTTATTTGAACCAAAACCAATTTATATATATAGAGTCTCGTTCCTATCAGGAGCTCCTGAAGGAAGCTCCGTGCGGACAAGCCCATCAGAGGGTCTTCCCGGTGGCAATTTGTGATGAATTATTTTTAGCATGTTCCTCATCAAGTCTAGTTTGTCCATACCAAATTTCAGCTTAAAATTCGATCAGGAAGACAGTCAAATAAATCCTGGAAACATACTGCACATTATATGTGCGCAAAATGCACCATATTTTTCCATGATTTATTTGACTGCCTTCCTGATCTAATTTTGAGCTGAAATTTGTTATGGACAAACTAGACTTGATGAGGAACATGCTCAAAACTTTTCATCAAAAAATTCCATCGGGGAGACCTTCTGATGGGCTTGTCCGCACGGGGCTTCTCTTCGGGAGCTCCTGATGTGATGTGAACTGTCCCCCCCTCTCTCTCTCTCTCTCTCTCTCTCTCTCTATATATATATATATATATATATATATATATTACACACACTCTTAAGGAAAATTTTGAGTTTGCATCCCACTTTTAGGGTGATATTGGACTTTACACCTCATTTTCAAAATTTTTAACATTTTGTGAAGAAAATTTCCTGAATGAGGTGCAACGTCTAAAAATTTTGAAAATGAGGTGCAAAGTTCGATCAGTATCATCCAAAACACGGGGTCCAAGGCCAAATTATCCCTACTCTTAATTAAGACAATTAATTGCTGTTGTGGTTTTGGAATAAGTAGGTTACAGTGACGTCGGAGACAGTAACTGGTCACTGCTTTTCTCTCGTTGTGGCTATTGAAGTGGTGCTAGCAATAGTGGCTCTTGTGGGCGATCAAATGGTGGCTGTAGCCATTTTTGCAGTTAACGGACCAAATGGTGATGGGAATGCTCGACCAGAGTATATCAAACTAATACTCAAAATCTTTATTGGCTGGACCTTGTATGCCTTTTTTACTTTCTTTTCTTCTGTTCTTCTATTGGATCGGGTATTTCTGGGAGATTTAGAAGTAAATAGCTTTTAGAATTCCAAAATGAATAAATTACACACATATAACTCATTTTCACCTTACTAACAAAAATATTACCACCATATAAAATGAGTTAAAGAGCTTTTTGAGTTAAAGTCTCCTTCTCCGAAAGTAAGTCTCTCGTGCTTATCAATGTATCTCTACCACACCACAAACAATCAGTTCTATTCATTATACTATGTCCAATATCATGTACCAAATCATTATCAAATACATGACTAAGTCATGTAGCAAATCATTAATACAGTTTCAGGACCTAGTCAGGATCGTTACCAACAACTCATTACTAACTCCCAAAACTCTAAACTTAATTACCGGTACTACCAAACGAATAATTACTACACAATCATGACCAAATTCATCTCTACCAAATTACATACATTTTTTTTATTCATTACCCCCACACCATTACTATCAAATCACGTTCTAAAATTCATTATCGTGAATCACAAATCATGCTTTAAATTCATTTCTACATTCTTAATTACTGGAATAACATCAACGGTTAATCAAAGAACATCATATTCATATGTTACCTGTTTATCCGCTAATGAATACACTAGAATTCCTGAAATTTGGCCGTTTCCATAACTGTTTTGGGGCACAGAGGTAATTTCGCTCATTACTAAAAGTTTGGCGTACGTGTTTCTTAGTTGTAGTCATATTAATGTAAACCCAAATAGTAGTAGTAATATTTATATAAAAAACTCTTCCAAAATATAGTTGATATGTTTTTCTTCATGAAATAGGAGTAATATGGCGGTATTTACTTTTATTAATGACAATATTTTTCAATCATGACAATATTTTTTTATTATCATATTTACTTCTATTTCCAAAAGAAAAACATAGCAGTCATATTTTGGAATTTCAAAACGGTTTTAGTTTATTTTGGGCAATTTCCCGATATTTCTCTGAAATTGTGGTTTATGAACTCAGGATTTTTGGGGTAACAAATTGGGAATGTATCATAAGCAGAGATGGAATTAAGGGGGTGCGCGGGGGGCGACCGCCCCCCTTGGACTTTCAAAATTTTCTGTTATATACTTCGTATATACAAAGTATATATAGGGTGCGGTTCCAGTGAGAACACTCCTTAACGTGAGAAATGAGAACGCTCCAAAACGATGTACTTTATCCTTCACGAAACTGCACATTTATAGTTAAAGTAATGCAAAATTCTAACGTGCACATTTACGTTTAAAATTTTGCACAAACGAAATGCACATTTTCCAATTTTTTGTATGCACGTTTCTGTTTTACATGATGCACAATACTCAAATCCAACGCTCCAGAATCATTCTCATTTCTTTATATATATATATATATATATATAGAGAGAGAGAGAGAGAGAGAGAGAGAGAGAAGATCTAGTGAGAAGTGCCCCTTAAAATGAGAAGTGTGAAGTATAACTAGTCTGGTCTAGTAAACGTCTGGTCTCTGTGTATTTTATAACTACGGAAGTCTGGTCTGGGACTGAAAACAGTCCAAAAGAAAATATTCTTACTAGCTTTAAGTAGACCAAATTAAATTAGATTGAATTTAAATAGATCCAACAAAATTCCAAATATATATAGAGATTTTTTTTTGAAATATAACTAATGAAAAAATATGAACAAAAGTGTAAGTAATAATAATTAGGGGGGATTTGACTTTGCACCCCACATTTGGGATGAAATTGGACTCACCCCATTTTAAAAAAAAACTTTGATTTTGCACCCTATTTCACTTCAAAATCCTTTGACTTTGCACCCCATTTTGAAATTTTTCTTCACAAATGTTAGATGATAGGGTGCAAAGTCAAATGCTTTTCAAAATGGGGTGCAAAGTCCAATTTCATCCAAAAAGTGGGCTGCAAAGTCAAATTCTCCCTAATAATTATTAGTAATAAGTTTTATAGTCATAATAAGTTTGATAGTCATAATGATGTAACACTTGAATACAATTACAATTATTAAAATTACTATAGTATGCTTTTATTTTAGTTATATATTTGGAATTATTTCCTATATACTCCGTATATTGTATCTGCAGTGTTGCGAGTGCAGGAGGAGGGTGTTTATTGGTTCTTGGATTTATTTACCTAAAAGGACAAAAATGCGGGACTTTGGTGCACTTCAAGATATTACTCGCAGCTGGAATCGTTTGCTTTGTTCGATTTTTCGGTGTCATGTTATACTATGTGATTGCCATATTGAATCAAGGCTCCTCTAATGTTTCCACTAGTGCGCCTTCACTGCTCAGATTGCCTAGCTCAATAGTTTGGTATTGAAGGACGTCGATTTTTAAATTTGGAATGAATCAGAGCCTATTAGTCATTCTAAATCTATCAATCTAAATCTATCAATGTTGGTATAATTAGCCCGGTCACCATGGCTGCCAAATCAGGGTTTTTCGATATATTCACCAACTTCTATATATATATTCACCAAATTTTAATGAGAACACTTCTTATTATGAGAAGTGAGAACAAATCATATCCAATTAGTAGTGAATCTAGGAAAAATACTCATTGGGAGCAGAACAAGATGAAATTAATAGCACATTTGCTAACACTGAAATTGATTGTGACGACTAAATGTGTTGACAATTGTGAAATTTTAATTAAAGCGTCTAAATTGAATGAATATGCTAAATTATGAACAAATTGTATTTAAAGTATGTTCTATTACAAAAGTAAAGAAAATGAGATATGAAAAATAGAAACAATGATCATTTTTACCATATTCAATCGATTTAGTCAAAAAAGTAGTTTCGATTTTACATATTTTGATTATTTCACAATTTAGAATGTGAAATCAAAAGTTATTAAACAACACCTATAACTCATTATACAATGCATATTTTGAACTTAATCATGTAGAAAAACGATTCTATATAAATAATTTTGGTGGTGAAAATCCAATTTAAATCAGTTAACTAGAATTATTTTTCTTTTAAGTATCAATAATTTGAGTTTGAAGGGGTGTTTGGAATTGATTCTGCTTCTTTTTTAAAGTAGAAGCAGAATTAGAATCAGTTTTCAGAAGCTAGTCTCCCCCAGCTTCTAAATAACCCGATTCTAGGAGTAAATTAGACACCAGAATTACTTCTTCACTTTCACTCAAACACTCTAACTTCTGTTTCTGCTTTATGAAGGAGCAGCATCAGTTTTAAGAATCAGATCCAAACACCCCGAAGCAGTCGAAAACATATTGCAAAAATTTCGAGTCGGAGATCCAATGATAATGTTGAATTGCGTATATGGTACCACCGGCTGTACGGTGAGCACCATACAGCCGACCCAGTTACAGGCTCAATGGAAAAATAGAAAAATAATTCGGTGGCAATTTTGTAATTAATGTAAAAATCGCGGTTTCTGCTAAATGAGCATTTGTGTAATGTTAATGAGCAATAGTCCAATTTTTAGGATTATTAAGCATCTAATAATGAGCACCGTGTTAGTACAAGAAAGCTGACATCACAACTGAAAAATGGTGGCATTTTCGTAATTTGAGTGAAAATCACGGTTTTCGTTAGATGAGCATTAATACATTTTAATGAGCATCAAACGTATTCTACTGAGTATTAAGAGTCGAATAATGCGTATTGTGAAGAAGAGGGAACCGCAGCCCGAACTTAATTGAATCCAGATGCACCATCAGCATACTCGGGCGTCTCTTTAAAGGATGCTCGGCCCCTCGCAATCAATTTATAATTAATAATTGATAATTAATAACTAAACAAGTGATGTGCGTACTAGCTAATGTTAATAATTGACCAACATTTATTAACAATAAGTTCATTGCCATGTTAGTGAATATAATTACTATTTAGGTGTGTAACAATCAATTTGATTAATGACTAAACAAGTGATGTGCGTACTTGTTGAGAATACATGCTAGCGGACCAAATTAAAATTATTTGGTTAAAAAAATTCGTGTAATTTATTTTTTAAATCTTTATTACGTAGTATATATTTGCACATTATTAATTAATACGTGTTTTTCATATAGTTTATGAAATTAAATTCGTTTGAACAAATTAGTTTGTGTTTCATATTACTTTTTTTTTTTGACAGATTGTGTATCATATTACTTGATGAACGTAAATTAGTATTCTTATAAATCTTAAGAGTTTAATTACTACTCTTTTTGGTATATACATGAAGGCTTTGTTCAAGATAAACATGTGTATCTGTTAGTGGTGTGCAATGGCTGAGAGAAGTAGCATAATACAGAGTATTCTTTAAGACTAATAAATAAATATGGTTAAAATAGATTATCTCAATAGGGTAAAAATCAAAGTGTTACAACTATTACAGCACAAAGAACAATGTGTTACTGGAAAATATAATAACTATTACTACTATATTAATAATTAATTGATTATACATTCACTATTTGTGTTGTTTGTTTATGCAGGGGAATGGGCATGTCTAACCTATTTAAGTCAGATGTCAGCACACCAACCACAGCGCAATTCAAACTGTACAAGGATATAGAAGCTCTCAAAATTGCAGTAAATAATCAACTTTGGTTCTACTTTGATTCCTGGAAATCCACACGCTTTGATTCCACCAGATCAACAAGTTTGAATCAACTTTAAATTAGAGAGTTCTCCTTTTCCATTGATATTATGCATGCCAGTCTGTCATACACCTATGGCATTTCCAACTTCTTTATACTGTTTTCATGTAAAATTACTAAAGCTGGTATCAGAATTTCAACAACAAAGTATATGGATAAGGTACCTCAGAAAGCTGAGTTTGATCTTCTTGTTTCTTTATTGACAAAGGATCGTACCTGGACAACATATGAAACAAGGTTCTTTAAGTTTGTTTGGGCAGCTATGTCCATTGTATCACGGATTACCTTTCACTTACCATTCCCTTGGGATCCCTGCTTCATCTCTAGCCAAATAGTTAAATGGTCCTTTCAACTCCACATCATACTCCTCCAACAAGTCTGCAATGAAGATTGATTTTACAAGGAGGTGGGGGGGGGGGGTATTTTTCCTCTCAAAAATATTGTGAATGTAGACATTTTTATAAGAATGAATAAGCAGCAAGCACTCAATTGGATCCAAATTTAATAATCAGACCAAATTGAGTCCAAGAGAAAAACAAAGACCGCATTGAGTAATCGTGTACAGGGCAAATTTGAGTATTAACTCTAGAGCCATAATAGAATGGACCTTTGAAAGCAGTGGAAGGTGGGCGATTCATTTTCTGACAAACAGCAAGAAACCAGTATACACCAACTGCCACATGTGCTACTTCTTCAGTCGCTATTCTATCCACAATGTCGGCAGTCCTATGGTCTCCAAAGCCAATCAATTTTTGCACCAGCCGAGGACCAGCATCTAGACCTCTAGCCTCCTATGAAATTAAGAAGATGAAACGATAGCTATGGTAGGGTGGGGGAGACAGAAAGATTGCATTGCTTTATGGTGATGGCCATAATATTTGGAGGCTGAAAGATATTTCTATCTAATTGAGCTTGCCATGACTTCACTTTTCTTTAAAAGCTAAAATCTTTTAGCATGAAATCAGACAATGGCAGTCGGGGTACTAGTTTTACTTTTTTCTGTAAACTTGTAATATACTACTACGCATATAACTAGTTGATGAATTGATGAATCAGGTTTTAAAAAAGGATCAGAATAAATAAGGGATTAGGTCATGAATAATACCATTTAAAAGTGTTTGGACAAATATAGGTCCTCTTTTAATAGCTTCCAAAAAAGAGACCATTAATGTGTACCATTTAAAAAAATGCTCCGTATGCCCCTGCCAATGGCCCCTGCTAGTCAATAGTCAATACACGCAATAATATATGACACGCCCTATGCGCATTATTCATCATTCATTCCTCCTGATTTTTTTTGGGATCCTGTATCATTTCTACATGCTATATTCTACTACAAAAAAAAAAGTGATTTAATTTATTTACCTTTTATATTCGGACTTTATCCATTAATAATACCAAAATAACTAACATTGACAAATACGAACAGTGACTAAGTTGAACAGTGACCAATCTGATTCAATTATCATGACCAACCCGTACAGTTACCATGACCAACCCGTCCAGTTATCATGACCAACCCCATCATGACCAACTCGATCATGACCAATACGACCATGACCGTACAACTATCATGACCAACCCGTCCAATTATCATGAACAACCCGATTCAGTTATCATGACAAACTCGTACAGTTATCATGACCAACCCGTCCAGTTATCATGACCAACCCGATCATGACCAATCCAACCATGACCAACCCGATCATGACCAACCCGACCATGACCAACCCGACCATGACCAACCCGACCATGACCAACCCCATCATGACCAACCCAACCATGACCAACCCGACTATGACAAACCCGACAGTGACCGGCCAATGCCCATGCCCGGCCAAGACCAACACACATGATGCTGCCGCCGCACATGCCCTGGCCGCCGCCGCACATGCCCCGGCCGCCGCCGCACATGCCCCGGCCGCCGCCGCCAATGCTCCGACAACTGCCTAATCTGCCTTACAAACCTTACCCCACCCTACCAGTGCCCCCAAGACCTTGTCTCGACCTCCTCCCCTTCCCCAGGCAACCAAGCACGCCACCACCGCCCACCATTTTCCCTCCCCTGCTCCAAGATGCCAGACCTGCTAACCTAGCCGCTGCCTAACGCAGATCTGAAAATGCATCGGCCGTCGCAAACGAAATCCTAGCCGCCGAAGACCGCTGAAGACCTGATAACGCAGAAGGCGGGCCAGTGACGGAGGAGGAGGGGTAGCGACGGAGGAGGTGAGGCAGCGTCAGAGGTCGTCCGTCGATTTCCATACGGGCGGCGCTCGAGAAGAAATAGAAGGAGAAGAGAAAGATTGCTCTCCGCTAGCCATGGTTGCTCTCCAGTCTCCACTCGCAATCCAGCGTGCTGCGTGCAATTGACGCTTGAGACGGATGGGAGAAGAGAATGGGATGTAGACGAGATAAGTCCCATTTTTGTCCAAATTAAAACCGGACCTACTTTTGTCCAGGTAGAAGTCAATAGTCTTATTTGAGTCATTATTTCAATAAAAAACAATCCCCCCCACCCCACCCCCCACGGCCCCACCCCCCGAAAAATACGCTGGTTATAGAATTCAGCTCATGCTGCTCCAAACACACAAGTTACTTTTTAAAAACAGCTTATAATCTAGATTATAGGTTGTCCCAAACACACTTTAAAAAGGTTTATTTAGCTAAATTAGATCACTTATAATTTATAAATGCGTCGAGATTATAAGTATGGAGTATAAATTATTAATGATATTGTAAAATTCTCCAAATAGGAGCAAAAGCAATGAAAATATCCAAAATATGAGCATTATGTTTATCACTCAGTAGGAGCAACTTGAAATTCTACTGTCATATTTTGGCATTATTAGACTTTAAATATGGCAATGTACTGCCATACTTGGCAATACTTTCCAAGCATGACAGTAATTACTCCTATTTAGGGAACAAAATCATAGTACTCCTATTTTGGAATTCGAAAACATTTTTACACATATTTAGAGAAATTTCTTTATCCTTAAACAACCAATTCAGAAGTGTCAGTGTGTTCTTATATGCACCTGGACTAGCGGAATAGCTGCCAGGCGTGCAGCAACGTCACCAGATGTCTTATCACACTCCCTCCATAGGAGATTGTGAGCGGGCATATCACCATAGCTGATAGTGACAGGAAAAAAGGAAACTACAAATCAAGAATACAAGACTACACTACCTTTACACATTGAAATTTATAGTATGTTTACCTGAACCCTAGCTCAGCCAATCTCTGTGAACACCAAGCAAAATGGCGGCTCTCATCATCTGCCACATGAGCAAAATCAGCAAAGAATCCATCACCTAGAAGCTCATGATAGGGTGAAAAACGAACAACAGTGTCCCATGCCAAATCAATGGCATTTAGCTCCACATGAGCAAGGTTATGCAGCATATATGCGTTAAGAGGTAAACCCAATTGTTTGTGAGACGGGATTTGCTTTGGTGAAACCTGAAGTAATAACCAAATATCAATTACTCTGTATAACATAAGTTTTCAAGAAAGACTTGAAGAGAAAAACCATTTCTCTTATTTATCAATTTAAGCCACCATTTACATGGAAAATAAGAAAGAAACACAATCTTAAGGGCGTGTTTGGTTCCGCTAATCGGTGCTTACCTTCGCAGTGATATGAAGGTAATGCCCAATGACCTAGTTTGAGTTTTAAGATACTCAGAGGAAGATAATGTGAGGTTTACCATGTTTGGTTTGACTTTTCAAATTACCAGAGTAATCGTAGATTACCGTCAAATTGCAAAATCAGGTAATGTTATGATAATCTGATTAGCTGTTTCATAGGTATGATAACATTACCTCACTCAAATAAATGAAGTACTGTTGTATTTGATTTGAAAAGAATTAAATGTTACATTTATATTATCGTAATATAACACCTTGGAATGATTGGATCACTTGTATAATCTCATATCTCCTAACAAAAAAATCATCAAATCTGAGATTATGTCGGTAATGTTAAGAAGGTAATGCAGATTACCTTTGAGTATGTTTTCAAATATTAAGAAGAGGGTAGTGTGATGTTTACCTTGTTTGGTATAGATTTTCAAATAATTGGGGTAATATTAGATTACTGTCACCGAGGAAAATGAGGTATTGTTCAGGCAATTGGATAACCATGGATTTCTTAGATTTGGTAAGATTATCTTCAGTGGTATACTGGTATACCATTATGTTTAATATGGAGTATGAGCTATCTTTATTTTGATTTCAAAAGCCACTAAGTAAGGAAACTCTAGGACAAGAGGGTCTTCCAGTTTCAGAAACTCTATTGAATCTCTCCTAACCATTGCTTTCTGTAGCAAGATTGGTGTTTCAAGTTTCAGTGAAACATAGTTCAAAAGTCTCAATATTACTTTCGACTATCCTAACATAACAGACCACATCATTCATATAACCTCATATTAGCTGACCAAATATACTCTCATATTCCCTTCTTAAAGATAACTTATTTCCATCGAGCAAATGCTCCTAAAGATAACTCTAACACCTTCAATCATTATAAAGTCATAAATCTCACAAATGGAAAAGAAAAAGATGATTACTGACCACTTTGGGAATTGAAGGTCTAGCAGGCTTAGCCGGGGGTTCAAAGACTCCGATGGGCAGTGCATTTTCACGCCACCTGCAATAACCCAAGTGGGAAAGCATTGATTTCTTGAGCGGGTCGGGAGTAGAGAGAACCACGGCGCCAATTTCGGCCAGAGAAGATCCTGAGTCGACCGGGTACGACCCAAAGCTTTCTTCTTCAGAGATTTCCGGCAACGGTGGTTCAACCGTCGGTCCATTGGGTCCCCAAAAACGGTCGTGGTTCAGAGTCCCATGTCTCCAGCTCTGCAGACCTGACCACTGGTTGGGTAATTGGGGATAATGAATGGACGTAGAAGAGGAAGAGAGGTGTTTGACGGGATTGAATGTGGAACTGGTAAGTAGCCTACCGGAGATATTGCAGCGGAGCGCTGTGAAGAGCATGCCGCTACGTGGGTTCACTGACAAGTGACAATTGGGCAAGAAGCTCCTTCACAGTTCACAGAAACAATCCCATATTTCCCATTTTGGAACGAGTAATACGGAGTATCTGATTATCATTGAGGGGTATGGGGGTGTTTGGATCTGATTCTCAAAACTGATTCTGCTCCTTCAGGGAGCAGAAGCAGAAGCTGGAGTGTTTGGGTGAAATTCCAGAAGCACTTCTGGAGCTCTAATTTACTCTCAGAATCAGTTTTTTTAGAAGCTGGGGGGTACCAGCTTCTGAAAACTGATTCTGATTCTGCTTCTGTTTTTAAAAAAGAAGCAGAAGCAGAATCAGTTCCAAACACCCCCTATGTCTAAAATATTAGTGAGTATTAAAATAAAGTTGTGGACAAAAAAGTGACATTTTATCCAAATTTTAAACAATGAGACTGAAAAAAGGTTAGCAGACTATTATACCCTCACTAGTGCTACAGAAACGTCATAGTGATCAGTGACACTAAAGCGATCAAAATCTGTCAGTGACCAAAAATCATTAGTGACCAAAAAGACAAAATCGATTGGGGACCAAAAATTTCGTCCAGTGACCAACGTCCACCCGTCAAGTCATAGTTACCTGACACGTCCTATTACGATTATCCGTCCCCTCGTCCAGTTACAGTTATTAAACCAGTTACAGTTACTCGACCTGTCCAGTTACAGTTATCCGATCCGTCCACATAAATATTAGCAAATAAATTATCTATCTCCTTATTTGAATGATTTTATACAGTTTTGGTAAGTTTTTCTCTGCAATGTCAATTACAATGTCAACATCTAGACGGTCTTCTTGACATTGTGGAAAAAACATTACCAAAATTATATAAAACTATTTTAAATAAGAAGAGAGATAATTTATTTGCTAAATATTTGTGTAGCTATCTCTGTGTACTGTACACATTATAGCATTGAAGATGCTTTGAGCTCCGGGCGGTGAGAATCTATACATTAATTATTAGATAGTCACTTGTTTGTCTTATTTCCAAAGTGGTATTATATTTGTCTAGTGGAAAGTCATATGTATTATTAGTGTCATTATTCCTATCATTTATAAAATTTTTCTACGAATTACACTTATATAAATTTATAAATTAAAGTGATAAAAGTTATAATCGTCAGATAAGGTTGGAATCTCTTTTTTAAAATTAATTGAAATTTGTAAAGATGATTGTTTTAGTTATATTTTCGTATAATTGGGTTAAGAGATAGGGAAGGAAATTGGATGGTTGACAGAGGTAAAACGCAACAGCTGGTGCATGATTATTTTGAGTCTTTATTTTCATCTGTTTCTTCTCTCAATTCGGAGGTAGATTTATCAGTAAAGACATGTCTTTAATTTCAGTAGAGCAAAACAGCTACTTGTTGCGCCCTATTTCTGAACAAGAAGTTAAGAAGGCGATTTTTTATATGCATCAAGATAAATCACCGGGTCTTGACGTGATGAACCTGGGGTTTACTGGGATGGAGTTAGGGTGGATGTTGTTGCGTTTTGTACTAAATGTTTCAACGGGAGGAGTATTCCTATGACAGTTATTACAAAACTAAGGGAAAAGGTGCAAATAGGCACATGTACTAACAAAAAAAGGTCAAATAAGTCCTTATTTAGGAGGCTTTGTCCGGCCGTCGCCATTTGGAGTGGTTCCCAGTGGAATTTTTTGATGACATTTTTTGAGCATCTTATTCATCAAGTCTAGTTTACTCATACCAAATTTCAGCTGAAACTTCAATCGGGAAGGCATTCAAATGAATTCTTGAAAATAATTGCGCAGTTAGAAGCGCAGTTATCTTCAAGAATTCATTTGAATGTCTTCCCGATTGAAGTTTTAGCTGAAATTTGGTATGAGCAAACTAGACTTTACGAATAAGATGCTCAAAAAAATTCATCAAAAAAATCCACCGGGAACCACCCCAAATGACGACGGCCGGACAGAACTTCCTAAATAAGGGCTTATTTGACCTTTTTTGGTTAGTACATGGGCCTATTTGCACCTTTTCCCTAAAACTAATCTTATTCTGATCCTAAGAAGAATAAACCTGGTGGAATAGGGGATTGGCGGCCAGTTTCCCTTTCAATGTGGTTTATAAAAAAAATTCAAAGGTTCTGGCAAATAGAATGAAGGGGATTTTTAATGATATTATTTGTGAACAGAGTGATTTTGTTCCTGGCAAAATTGTTGTTAATAATATTATTATAGCTTTTGAGACTCGTCAATATCCGAAACGGAAAAGGCAAGGAAAAAGAGGGTTTTATGGCTTTGAAACTTGACATGAGTAAAGTCTATGATAAGGTAGAGTGGAACTTTCTGCGGGTAGTCATGGAAAAATTATGCTTCGATAAGAGGTGAATTGATTCAATCATGGAGTGTCTGACTATTGTGTCATATTGTATTCCCTTTGATAATACATATATAGGGCCAATATTACCACATCAGGGTCTCACACAGGGTGATCCGCTATCCCCTATTTGTTTGTTTTAGCTACTGAAGGATTGAGTGCATTGATTAGAAGCCAGGAATCAATAGGCAGAGTAAGACGAGTGGCAGTGGCGAATAGGGCACCTAAAGTCTCTCATCATCTATTTGCTAATGACAACTATTTGTTTTACAGGGCCACTAAACAGGATGCTAGTCTATTACAACTTTTTTAAAACAGTACGAGCTATTTTAAATGGCAAATCCCCGCCTTAATAGCACTACAATTATTCCAGAAAAGATCTTCCAGCCCACCTTATATCACCCGTCCGATTTTATTAACCTCAATCTACGGCTTCTACCTTCCTCTTAAATGCTCTTTCTGTTTCTTCCATCTCCAGTTGATGGAAACTTCTCAAATCCCCTTCACTCAAACCTTCACTAGATCGATTATTCTTTTTCTCAAATCAGAACTTCTAGCCGAAATCATAATCCATGGATGAAATGGAAGGTGTTGCTCCCCTTCCACAGCGTTGACTCCCTCTTTCTCCACTGATTCCAATTTTGCCGTCTCAGAGGTCCACAAGCAAAGCATGAATTCAATCATGTGCATACCCCCTGAATCTCTCCTTACCAAGAACAGAGCGACGGGTAATTGTTTGAAACTTCTTAAGTCCCCTCCATTCACATCATCCACTAGATCGGTTAATTTTCTTCTGGAATCAGAACAACCTCAGTAAATGTTGAGAAATCTCTTAATGAATATCATTTACTCTTTTTTTAATTTCCTTTTACCATATTCATAATGGTATGTTTTGGTTTGATACTTTGGTTTAAGAAAGGGTCTTCCTTTTTCTTCAGGATTTTTTGGCATTCTGGGTTCAATAGCATTCTGGCCGGAATGAACTTTTTCACGATTGAATTCAGATTGTGTTGTTTTTGGGGTATGATATGCAAGATAATTTGTTGTGTTCCACTATTTTTGCAGTCTGCATATCAACTTCATTAGCTAGTTTTATGCTAAAATTTGATTCCAATTATTCATTGAAACTTATAAAATGAGTAGAAACATACCATTGTGATTTATTTATGTTAATGACTGTTTGTATTATTTTGTTTTTATGCTCTTTTATCTTTTTATCTTTTATCTTTCTTATATTCGTATGTTAGCGCTATCTGATATATATTTTTATCTTATCCATTTTATCTTACTTTCCCCCCCTTATCTTTCTTCTCTTTTTAGCAGTGATATCATGGATCAATTTATGTTAGCCGACCCCAAATTCTTTTGGGATTATGACATTCTTTTGGGATTACGGCTTGGATGTTGTTGTTGGTTAGTAACTAAACTTATAATTTATAAAGCCATATTTCTTAATATGTTAAACATTTTAATCCAGGAATACAATTCTCACTCTATGCGTTTTTCTTCAATTCCATTTTTATCCATTTTAGAACACTATCCATTATCTAACGGTTCAGTTTTTTTTATTCATTTCAGTTTTTTTTTTATTCATTTCAACTTCTATGTGAGGTAGAATATTATGTACGGTGGGAATGAAGTGTAAAATATTTTATTTGTCAGAACTTTTCCATTACAAGTATGCATGTTATGCTTCAATTTATTAGGTAGTGAAATTATAACCTCTATGAGCTTCAAATTTTAGGTGTCTAGCCATGGAAAGAAGTGATTCTAAATATTTTTAGTGACCACCTCTATTTGCACATTTATACTTCTGTTAGATAGTTAGATCATTAATCTCATGGGTAAGTGGATTGTATTAGTTAGAAAGTAATGCATATATTATATGTGGTTAATTTAAAACTAATGATATCAAAAGCTAATTGACACTTCTTCTGGATCAGTTTCAAAGGCAAAGCAAAAATAAAGAAACTAAAAAGAGATCAAACGCAGAGAAAACTACATTGAGAATACTCACTAATGCCTATGTTAGTCTGTTACTATATCCTAATTCCAGGTTGCTTTAATTATGTTCATTTTTATCAAAACATTCAGCGCATATCCAATGTTTTAACCAGATTTAGCTTTCAGTTTCCCTAATGTTTTAGTAGATAGTATTAAAAAAATCAAATCTAAGTTAATTACTGCCTCACAATACTCTTTAACTTGAAAATACAACTAAGATAAATACTAACTTGCCTAAATACAATTAAGATACATACAACCCGATTAGCCTATTCTCGCCCTCAATTTTTTCCGCCTTCTTATCGATAAGAAATTAGTGGATTCCCCAGTGAAATCACCACGGAAATCGTTGAAATGTCTTTTATATCTTCTTCATTTCTATCATCAATCGATCATTAGATTCATAACGAATTTCATTCTTAACGTTGCCTAAGCTATTCTTGGCCTCCATTTCTTACAACTTCATATCCATTCAGGTACGAAAAAATCATTTTCAACATTCTATGCTTGAATATTCACTCTAGAATACTTTTTTATTCATTTTTTTACAAAAGTTCGCTCAGTCATGTGAGTTCTTATGTAATCTAACTATAAAAATAATCTCAATGTTTTATTTGATGAAAATTTTGCATTTAGCAGCCCCACTTTTGATTTTTGAATATATAGCGAATTTTGTTCAAATGGTAATGATATGCGAAGTATGTAACTTTAAATAGGTGTTGGTTGTACTCTATGAACCCAAAAAATTGGGAAACTGAAATTGATTCTGACATTTGTATGATTTTGTTTGCAAGATGCAAACAATACATTTTTATGAATATTGAAAGCATAGAATGTATTTATTAAGGAAACTTTCAGTTTCCTTAATAGGTACATTCTGGAGTATGTACATTCTGGAGTATGCGAATGTATGTCATTCTGGAGTTTTTCTGTTGATTGTATGTGAGTGAGTCATGGACATTCTGATAAGGAAGTCAATTTATAGGTACATTCCCATTTTTAGATTTTCAAAGATTGTTTACAAAAAACAAATAGACTAAAGAGGTGCATACAAGGTTGTATCAATATATGTATAAACACCAAACTATATTATCTAATACTTTGTAAAAGTTGTAAATTGTCTCAGTTAAATTTCCAGGGATTTCATAGGCCTTTAAGATTCTTTTAAAGGCCCAAAATGAATAAGTTTCTCTGTTTCGTTAGTAGTCTAATATAACATTAAAACTATTCAATATATTTCAGAAATTAATTTTTAAACTAAAGAAATATTTATTATTTAAGGAATACATGAATTAAAATTGAATTTTGATTTAAAAATATCCTATTATATACGTCTCCAATTCTAAATATGTATACATATTAAGTAATATAATTGGGACTTATAATTTCACTAAACAAAACATAGTTCTTGAGGGTAGCTTTCAACACTATGAAGTAAGAGAAATGTGTCATCTAAGAGTTTGCACATCTCCAAAGTGGAATTAATTAGTACATAGACGACAATTTGTATTGATTTTGGAGTTCACACAATCCAACACTATGAAGTAAGAGAAATGTGCCATCTAATAGTTTGCATTATCTCCAAAGTGGAATTACTACATAGACAATCTGGGTTCATTTTGGAGCTCACACAAGTTACTTTAAATCAATATGGCATCTCGCTATTGTATCGTCATTCTCCAAGTGGTGGAATAACTCTAGGAAATAGAGCGTGTTTCTCTCTTTACTTGCTTAACATAACAGTGTGTTGAAGAAGACCCCATGAAAATAATCTTCCAAGTTGTAACACTAAAAAGTAGGAGATGTGTGTCACCTAATAGTTTGCTCTCCATATAGTGGAATTATTACTACATGGACAATCTGGGTTAATTTTGGAGTTCCTATCGGTTACTCCAAAACAATATGGGCTGTCCCTATTGTATTTCTATTCTCCAAGAGGTGGAGTAACTTTCGAAAATAGAGTGGAAAAAGACATACCTGACTTTACAAACTAAAGATTGTTGCACAAACACATCTAAATTGTCAAAATAGTTTCGTCATTGTGAATCACATGACTTTATTTCACTTCTATTGCTAGCAATAATTTGACACTTCTGCATTTTCTGTCGTAGTTTCTAACATTTGACGAATGACTCTCCTTTCTAACGTACGTAGTTTTCGTATTTAGTTTCAGTTTTTACTTTTTACTAGACCAATTCTGACCTGACCTGACCAGACTTAAACAAATCATAGATCAGACCAGCAAATTTCATGTCAAGTAAAAACATCCTAAAAATGACATATGAACTTTCATAATAATTTGATTGCTCATTGATTTCAATTAACCGATCATCAATATATCAACAACTTCATAATAAACGCCATTTTTCAATATTAAACGTTGAAAACTATGGATGAGAGATAAATTACTCTATAATAAAGAAGGTATTATCAAGTTCACCTGACTGTTCGAAAAGGATTAAAACCGTTCAAGTATGGAACTGGAACTAATCTTTAGTTGTTATGCATCTTTGCTTCGTTATTGAAGGATTTTAAAAAGTAAAATATTAATTTTCACACATGTTTTTCATAAAGTTTTAATTACGTATAGTTTCATTATTTACTGGGTTAGACTTATGCCTTGGATTATTTTACGGTAGGGCCATCATTATTTTTATCAAACACTATTGCCATAATTAAGCAAAAGGTGAAGGTTGGGTTCGGGTTGAATTGTGTGATCATCAGAGTTGCCATGTATCATGTATGATAGCTATTATCAATACGTTGCTATAAAGCCAAGAGAAAATAATATTTTTAAAATTCATCTCGTGCAACGCCCGCACGGGTGAAAAATCTAGTTTTGAAAAAGCTAGTGCATCCTTTAGTGCTAATGTTGGGGCGGATGCTAGATGGCAATTGTGTTCTTTCATGGGTATAAATCCAGCAAAGTCAAATGCAAAATGTTTGGGTTTACCAACGCTAGTTGGTAAGAAAAAGAAGGGGATTTTGTGTTATTTGAAAACGAATTCTAAAAAGGCTGCATAATTATTGGAATAACATATTTCTGTCTAAGGCGGGAAGATAAATCTTATTAAAGACCGTTATTCAAGCTATGCCTACCTATGCCATGAATGTGTTTTTGCTTCCCGATGATCTTATCATGGAAATAGAAAGACTTATGAAAAGTTTTTGGTGGAGAGGTAATGAGAAAAGCGGGGATTAGAAGCTGATGGTTGAACCTAACTCAATAGTCGGACGAGTTCTTAATACTAAATATTTTCCACAAATTGGTTTTGAGGATGCAAGGTTGGGGAATTATCCCTTTTGATTGGAGAAGCATATGTGCGGTTCAAGAGGTGGTAGTGTCGGGGTGTAGATATAGGGTGGGAAATGGAAAGTCTATCTCTGTTTGGAAGGATCGGTGGCTAGTGGGGAAGGGGTCAGGCAGAGTCAATTCTGTAAGACCACAAGGTGTGTTAGATATGAATGTGGCAACTTTGCTAAATGAGGATGGGAAGAGCTCGAACACACAGCTTATTAATAAAATTTTCAAAGAGGAAGAAGTGTTGTTAATTTAGAGCATCCCCTTGAGTTCTTCGGAGCTAAATCGAGTCAAGATCAATGCGGATGTTGCGAGCGTTCCTAGAGATGATGTTTGGACTTGGGGATGGGTCTGTCGGGACAGCAGCGGAGAGCTCATGAATGCTAGCAGTTGGAGGATTAAAGTGAAGTGGAGTCCGGAGGAGGTCGAAGCTTGGGGAGTCCGAGACTATCCATTGGGCGAAGGAAAGCGTGTGGAGGAACATGGAGATTGAGACGGACACAGCGTTGGTGTTAGTGGGGGATCCAAGGAGAGTCATGCGCTTCATAAATTGGGGTTATTTATGAAGATATCAAACATCTCATGAAAGAAGGACCGGGGATACGAATCAAGTGGTATGGTAAAGTAGCAAACCAAGTGGCTCACACTATTGCTAGAACCGCTATTTCTATGCATGAGAGTAGTTGTTTTTACGATGTTCCACCATCGTGGGTTGTAACTTGTAAGTCGTATATTTCACGATTATTTAATATTATAAAGTTGAGTTTTTTCTTTTAAAAAAGGTTATATTTTCGTATAATTGTTTCTTTATTTTAACAATGGAATATATTTTAAATGTAACTTTTTACAATTCAGCACATTCAACTCATTCAGCTGCTTCAATTAGAATTTCTTTAATTTCAACAAATTCAACCATTTCAATCAATTTCAGTGTTACCAAACAAACTCTAAATCATTAAAACATTTTTTAAACATATAAAGTATTATAGTTTCAATTAGGATAACACTAATTTGGCCGATAAATATATTTGCTCCCTAAATTACAAATTAAATGCGATATTAGCCAGCTTTCTATTTCAAAATGCCGTAGTAATTGTCTTGTATACTCTTGTCATTCGGGAAAAATAGTGTACCAATTCTTTTTAACAATGATACTCAGTAAAATTTTAGACACCAATGTGCAGATGAATGACCGACGTAAATCCGTAGTAGTTGTTCACACCGTTTATACGGGAAAAATAGTGTACCATTTATTAAAAAAAAATACAAAAATGACAATTAACATAAATCTTGCCTTTATCGCTGAGCTATATTTTTGGAAATAGAGTAAGATGTTAGTGCAAAGCAATTAAGGAACAATAACATTTTTATTATATATTGAATGGTCGATCTCTAAGCATATAAAGAGTGCTCAGCCAAGAGCCCAGGAACACTATCAAAAAAAGACTATCGATAGTTCTCATGAAGATCTTTGTTATCCTTATTCAGTCTAGCCAAACGTAATGAAGCAAATGGTCTTAAACGGGTCCAAACCAACCGTGGGCCCACAATCATGTTTAACTCATTTACACAAATCGTTACAAATGCTGACTTGCACGTCGAGAAATACAGCATCTCTATGGATATGCTGTGATAATATTTGTTAGCAAATGCACAAAGCTTACATACTACACAATTACACATGCTGAGATTGGCCCTAGTAAAATACAACATTACATTATTAATCATACAAACCCCCATGGAATAGCCAGCATTTACCACAAACACCCTGTCTTAGATACGCTTTGCCGGATGTTGAAGATGTTAAGCTCAAAGCCTCAAACTGATTGCAACTGCTGGATCTGGCACCAATGACAACAGCAATTGTTGATGATGTTAAAGAAACACGCAGCACAAGAATATATATATATAGCATGAAGATTCAAAGTAGTTCGGTTCCTTCAAACTACATGAAACATGTGGATATGAATCCAGGACCATTACTTGTGTGAGGTAAGACTAAACAAGTTATACTGTTAACAGTTGATGAAAATATTGTTAGTTTCCATTTTTTAATCCATTAAATTTCAATGAAAGTTCTATAAAAAAATTCACAAGTGTAATGATATGTTATTGTTAAATCAGAAAGAAATTATGAATTTTCAGTTTACACAGAAGTATAACTCTATGTGCCAAGAAAAGTGCGGTAAATTTATTCTCTATTTAAAAAAAGTAGTTACTTTTTATTCTACGAACAGCAATATAGTATGGTTACAATATTCATCCCCTACTTACTAAATTTCTGCATCTGGTGCTGTTTCTCTCAATCTCTCACTTATCATTAGATGCTTAGTAAAAGTGTCTATTACCAAAGAAGATATAAGGATGCTCAGAAAAATTAGACAGGGACTTCCAGACACTATCTAAACAAAACTAGATTATATCTAGAAAGCACAACAAAGAGATCGCTTGTTGATAATATATGAGTACAGAGTACCACAGGAAAAATAAAAGCCAGACCAGCTATGTTACTTGAGAAACTACATCAGACCTTTGGCGAATGTTCTGCATCAGATCCACCTTCTGATGAGCTTTCACTTTGAGAACCTGTTGCAAAATGAGATGATATAATTAAGAAGTACAGCATCAGTCCAAAAAAAAGAAAATGCTGAAAAAATAACAACAACAACAACATTAGAAATAGTAGTAGTTGTATTAATTATAAAGACAAAAATAATAAAAATAATTGTAGTAGTAATAGTAATCATAGTAATAGTTATAGTAATAATAGTCATAATTACAGTAGTAATAACAATACAATATGATCATTATATAAATACCACTGGATGAAGATGCTGAATCAATGCTAGAGCTGCTAGATTTAGTTGCATTGTTCTCTACATTTTCCCCTTCAGCAGGAGCAGAAGAAATGACATTTCTTTCTGCTAATATACACAAGACCAAATCAGCAAGCATTACAAGAAGGAAAAAAGTTGTAGTCGAGACAAAGTAAGGTTCACAATCTGTAAACTTGTAACAAATGAAGGTTTCATTTTACACAAGTACTACAGTAGTTCTTCCAAACTAATTAAATGGTTACCTGAGTTTCCTTCACTTTGAGTTTTGTTTACAGCATCCATTGCAGTTTCTAGTGCCACTGAAGCTTCTATCTGCTGAAATAGCAAAACCGAGGTTATGCAACTAGCAAGCTAATTTAATGATATATAATGAGTTATTACCAGATTTAGTCCCTTGATCATATACTCTTACTCAATTAGGTCCTCAACTTTTTATTAGACTCAATTCGGGTTTTGATCATGAAATTTGGACCCATTTTAGGCGTAATACATATGAAATAAGAAGGATTCCTTGTCCTCTCACCTAATTAACAAATTCCAGACTCAAAATGGCCCTAAACCATGTGATTTGGGCCCAATTTGGTAAAAAATCTTCTTAATTAGAGTATTATATGCATGAAGACTAAATTAAGTCTGGATTGTATAGTCAAATAACAAACTGAGTGAGAGTATAAAGTGAGGAACAAATCTTTTGTTAGTTCCATAAATAAAAAGTACAATTTTATTAAAAAAATTCTGTGCATAGTTTACCTTCTCTTTGACAGGCTGTTCATCTTCTTGAACTGGTTGAGATGCAGGATCAGGCATTTCAGCTTTTCTTTTATTCTTGCTCAAGCTCTTTTTGTAGTTGGTTACAAACCTATCGAGCTCCCAAAGAGTTTCTATATCAACACTGTCAATATCTACTTCAATCTCATCATCTTGTTGGCAGAGAGAGGAGTTCCTCTTTCTTATAATTTGCACTACACTTTCAAGCTTTTCAGAAGGCAAGCTTTGGAGGTTCATGCTAAGTTTTTGTTTCTCATCATACGTCATATCCCTTTTATCGGGATCCTTTGCCTTTGGCTTCTTAGGGGCAGCGATTCTCCCAGGCTGTGTGGATTTCAGCTTTGGTTTCGAGTCAGTCAGGGGCTCAGGCCTGCCAGCTAATTTTCTCATTTCAGAGTTTGGTAACTTAGGGGCCTTCCTAGTGGATGTAGGAGTCGGTAGGCCCACTTCCGCCTCAATAGGAGCCCATTTGTTGTCAAATATCTGCAAGAGCTGCTCAGCCATTACATGAACATCTTGCCCCTTTGGATTGTACGTCATAGCGTTCCTGAATGTAAGTCTAACGTCCTCTGCAAATTCTCTAGGAGATTTGTACCAATTACTGTCCAGCCTGGATTTCACTGTGCCAAGGTCCATTGGTTGCTTGATGATGTCATAATAGTCATGTAAACCAAGACCAACAGTATCAACCGGCTGGTTAAATACCCAACCATGCTTGTGCTTCATTAACCTTTCCAGTAAGGCACAGCAATTCTTGTACACTTGATTAGATGGCTTTCCAGACCCAAAACCATGCCCTGCTTTCGTGTTTGTTTTTGCCTTCTTGTTGCTTTCAGAAGGTGGGATCTTATCTTTTGCAAGCAAAAAATCTGAGTTTCTATATAATTGGTTTGCCTTGGGCGTCCTCTTATCTTTATCTATGTTATCATTTACACCATCACTGTTCTCCAACACTGACACACTCAATTGGTGCAAAGGTCCTATGGGGCCATTCTTGTGTGTATCTTTTGACTCTATATTCTTCACCAAGCTCCTTATCACGTCCAGCTCACTCTGCAGCTTCCTCCTTAGCTCTCGCATCTCTCGTTTAGACTTCATTGATGATATGCTAATTGTAACCCTGTTTTCCTGCATAGTCAATCCCAGCTTTGCCCCTTCACTACCTGCAACCACTCCACGACTGCTCAATGGCGCAGCGGATGACCGATTCAGACTTGAAGAACCTTCCCGCGGCACGATAGGAAGGGAATTAACAAGAGGTTGGGACCACTCAGCTTCTTCTGCAGCTTGGGCTTGAGTGTGAAGCTCTTCTGTAGGATTACCACTGTTTTTGGATGTCTTCTTTACCCCTTTGATGGACTTCCTTGTGTACACTTTGTCTCCCAATCCAAGCTTCTCTTTGAACCCTTCTTGTCCTCCACTTACACCACCACCCGACATCGCTTATAACACATTCAACTCCAAACCTCTAATTAATTCATTCACAGATCGAATATTAACATGTATGCAATCGAATAAGAAACGTATATCTTCAGATTAAACGAAAACGAGTAAATTCTCTCCAAATATACGCTAACTAGGGTTTACGGTGAATAAAAACTATCAATATACCTTTCTCCGTAGAACGCCTGCAATCAATACACTCCAGCTTCACAGTTAGATCCCGAGATCTGCAATTACCAATCATGTTTTTTGATCTGGTTTTAGGATAGTCCATTGGGCAGAGCATCAAAGGGCAGCGATGAGGAGAGGAGGTAGAAGATTGACGCGAGTGGACAGAGCGTGGCAAGCACGAAGCTATGGACGGCTGGGATTATTTCCCTCTAGAAACGGAGTGGTTATTAACGGTTGAGATTTCGGTGCTGTTGCAAGTTGATATTTCGAGTTAAGTTCATTATATGTTGGCCCACGCGAGAAGGGTGGCGCGTTTCGTACAGCTTCAGTTTGTGGATTTATTGTCCTCTCCTACTACTTCCTCCCTAATTGGAAGTCCGTTGAAAGTCATACCGTAGATTTAGATTTGGGCCGATCTATAGTGTTACTGTATTACTATAATATGTCCCAAGCCCATCTGAAATGCTGAAGTGGTTTAAGACTTCAGTTTACACTTTACACCACCACTGTTTTATCCGTTTATTTACATTCCATTATCTTTTATACGGAGTATGAAGTATTCTCCTCTCCCACATTGTTTCATTTTATCTTTTTGGTCCGTCTTACTAAAATTGTCTCATACCAAATCTGGTAAAGTTTGTGTGACTATAAATTATTCTTATTATATCAATTAAATATCAACCACATAAGCAACTTTTTATTAATTTGTGTTACTACCTCTTGTTCCATTGTTAATGGGAGAGGAAGTATATTACTAGTAATCTCAATTATCCATAAATCTAAATATTTCTACGCTTGATACAAAAATGATATACCCATTTCATTATTTAAATTATAGAAATTACTTCAAATAGGACTAAAACAATGGCAAAAACTCAAAATAGGACGTGTCTGTTTTTTATTCCAAAATAGGACCATATTGGTCCTATTGGAAACATACATATTTCTTTATTCCATTCTTACCCCTCCTTTAAATATGAGTAAAACATAATCAAAAGTCATAATGAAATGTTTAATTCATAATAAATTCGAAAAAATTTCAAAATTTCGTAGAAAAATAACAAAAAAAATTAAGAAAGTTTTTATAAAATAAAAAATCAATTTTTTTTTTGAAAATTAATAAAATATTGTAAAACTACATTAAAAATTTTAAAAAAAAATATGGATGCCTCTCCCACCGTCTGTACTACCTCCCTGCACCACTAGCTCTGATCGGTGTAAAAAATGCCATCTTTTTTTTTAAATTAAAAAAAAAATGGCATATTTCTCTATGAGAATGCCAACATTTTCATTCTGCCAACTTGAATCCTTTTGACTTTTGCCAAAAATATGGCATTCGTAATTTTTTTTGACATTTTGAAATGTTGCCGCTTCCCTGCACCACCACCTCCGACCGTTAAAAAAATGTCATATTTCATAAAAACTGCCTTTTTTAAAAAAATGCCAAAAATATGGCATATTTCTCTTTGAGAATGCCAACATTTTTATTCTGCCATCTCAAATCATTCTGACTTATGCCAAAAATATCGAATTCATAATAAATTTGGCATTTTTTCCCAAATGACTGGAGGTGGTGGTGCTGGGGCAGCAGAGGCGGCGGTGACCAAATTTTTTTTTTTTGAATTTTTTATTTATTTTTAAATTATTTTTCCAATTTTTTTTGAATTTATTATTATGTAAAATATTTTTATTAATTTTTTGGTATATTTTACAAATTTTTATTATTTTTTATTATTTTATTATGAGTTAAAACATTCCAATAGGTATAAAGGTATATTTGTCCAAGACACACATAATTAGTCCTATGGAAACATAGTTTATTTTTTGGTCCTATTTGTGCAAAGTGAGTGACTTTTAGTCCTATTTTGATAATTGACCCTTGAAATTATTCAACTAACAAATTTAGAGTAATATATTTACAAGGTTTGTTGCACAAATAATAAAACTATAACTACGTAGTATTTGGTTGACAAATATATTGGTAATTTTTATAATAAAACTATATCATTAACATATACATATTCTGATGTCGAAAAAATTGAATATGAATGTGATAAAAAAAATTGACGTTTGTACAGTAAATGTCTCTATACAATAAAGTATACTAGTATTAGACTAAAATTTTTACATTAAGGGGAAAAATTATTTTTGAACAAATTAAAGCAAAAGGAATTTGTGCATATATGGTACCGGATAAGCCTTGTGTGTCACCTTTTACCGCAAAAAAATGAGGTCCCATACAACTCCGTTATGAGGTTATATAGACATGTATACACACACACACACACACACACATATATATATATATATATATATATGAATTTGTGCATATATGTTATCAGGTAAGCCTTTGTGATATTCATTTATATAGTGGAGGGTTCACTTTATAAATGACTAGTTATTGGGTGTTCACCTATACCATATGATTCTATAAGGGGTCACATGAGATTGCATCAAATTCTATCCTCTTAGAGTGTGTGACAAATTCTTCATCTTTTATATATTGTGCACATATCAAAACTATATGGTAATTGTGAAGCTCTTTCAGTCTTTCCTACATAGGTAGTTTATTAGGTACGAATTTGATAATTATATTCCAAAAGCTCACTTACACGTCTTACACATTCTTCCTCGAGCTATATCAGTTGCACCAAATGAAAGTAGGAGTGAGAAAAAACCAATTTAGAATTTTCACCTTCGTAGTTATATATCTATTGTACCTATGCTATATATATTGTTCTTTTTTGTTTCACTGGAGTTTTAATGTATTGTTATTTTGAGAGTTTTAATAAAGGAGTGCTATAATTGTATTATAATTTATGTGCATGATAGAACTATATAAGCATTGTGCGCACACATAAAGATTTGAATTGGATATGGCATTATAACCGGAGTGTAGAATTTTGTATTTTGTACTATCATCAAGAAAGCAATTCTTATTGAGAAAGTATAATGAAAAGAGAGAATTACATAAAAATACATTTAAAAAAATTATGTATGAAAAGTAAGCATGTGACATTCATCGAGCCATTAAGGATGTGTACTAGGCCACTACCATTGCTTGATAGGGTGGGTGTCTTTTGGATTGTGTTATTATATGTGTTGGAAGGTAACGATAATCAATGTTATTGTATTATACAACTTATAATGTGACGTGAGATAATACAACTATACAAATAACAGTGGCTACTTGGTCACAACAATCGTCTCTATTTGTAAATTCTGTCACTAGCCAATTTTGAACACAAAAATTGCAGTTTCAAATCAAGTAATAGCTCTAGTTTTCCAGCCAAAACAACTTCTTGGATTTATAGCGTACGTTTAGGCATTACTAAGAAATACGGACTAAGAATAAAAAATTACCAACTTGATTAAGCAACACAGTTTGAAGAGATTGATAAGGATAGGCCAATGTAAATGTGGGACGAAGCTGGAATTTAACATTTGCTTATCTGCAGGGGATAAATATTTCCAATTTTTGATTTTTTGAAATATCAAATTTGAAATATTATCTATTGGATTTGAGAGTCTCCATTTCTTCAAATTAATGATCTTATAAGCTAATAACATTAACCCAGAATTCAATCACAATATATAGTCTCCATTATCTACTGGCATTAGATATCCAATTAACACGATTCGTTTCCTGGAGCCATGTAGAAGAATGTTTGTAATGAATCAAAATTACAAATTATACAGCCCAAACATGTTATAAGCTTAAATTCGAAAACCCCATTCCTCCTTTTTTGAGCTTACACAAAATTCTATTGTCTTCAGAAACTCAAAAACTTAAGGCTAGAACACGGATATCCAGAAAGAGAGGATTCCAAGTAAGGAGAATTCCTCAAATAGGATCAAAACTTGTCCATTTAAAAAAAAAAAAAAAAAAGGTGCCCAGCATTCTCTTCTAAGCTATCTATCTGAAATGAATCATGGCAGACTTCTTGCGAAAAGAATGAATACGAATCTTATCTTCACCGTCTTCATCATCATCGGCTGCTCTGCGTTTCCTGGGATTCGAAGATACTTCAGAAGGAAGAAGAGATGGAAAATCGCAAAGAGATATTGCAATTGGAGTGTTGCCTATTAGGTGGGTTATGTCTCGGAGGGGCTTCCTCGTCAAATTCGTCCTCCCCTTCTTCTTCTTCTTCTTCAATGATTTCTCTTTTGAAGGCATTGAATTGAGTATTTCTGCAGATCTTGGCGGGATGTTCTCCTTGTTATCAAGCTCAACAATGGCAGCTGAAACCTCCATGGCCGGTCAAAGATGAGTGGAATTGGAAATTTGAAAAGCAGAGTGATATTCAATGCGGGGGTGTGAATCGACCATTTATATAGTTTGCATATGGGAAAAGGATTTCGTATTTATTTTAGGCAAACAAAAACAAAAACAAAACAGATTTCGGAATTTGGTTCGAAAGTGTGATGAAAGAGCTCCGCTGGTTTTTTAAAATTTCAGAGGTTTCAATTTCAGCTTTGAGCGCTCAAATTAGTTTCTATGACAATTCCTTCTTTCTAGTCTTGGGCCTTTTGGCGGGTAACGAGAATAATAAAATGGAATGTAGTGGGAAATGGCGCGCCAACGGGGATTATAAATTTATTTATGATAGCTGGAGTTTTCCCTCATTTAATCAACGTTCCTTTTGCCTGATTATTAGCTTTACAAATTGAAAAAAATGGTTACGTACAATATATCCAACAACATTTTATCGAGTAAATTTTAATGTCAATATAATATTGGAAAAGTGTTAAGTCATACCACGGATTCAGGTCATCTGTCATGCGGTAGAGGCGTCTTGCGTAGGGGTGCAAACGAGCCGAGCCGAGCCCGAGTTTATGTAGGCTCGAGCTCGAGCTCGAATTATATTGTATTGGCTCGATCTCGAGCTCGGCTCGAACGAGCTTAAAAAATCCAGGCTCGAGCTCGGCTCGCAAATATTGATTCGGCTCGATTTGGCTCGACTCGGCTCGGTTCGGTTCGGCTAGATAATTTTGGTTCGTTCAAAAGTTACAAGTTCGAATAGCTCGAAAGTTCGTGTTCGAACTCGAGCTCAAGTATGAAACAATCTTTATATATTTGTGCTTAACATTTGCAAATTGCAATTTACATGCCCAATAACTAAACATTACGGGAAAATAAACAAAATATAATTCTAACTTCAAGTCTCTACCTAATTGTATTTCTAATATAAATCAAATCAAAAGTGGTCAACCCATTAAGAAATAGTGGATGAAACTTTGATTATTTTTGTTAAGTTACTTTATAATCAAGAGTGGTCAACCCATATACTAATATATACTATGTATTATATAATATACTAATATATACTATGTATTATATTATATTTGTATTGTATATTAATATATTACATATATTAATTGAATAAAATATACACACATATAACTAGGCTCGCGAGCCGGCTCGCGAGCTAGCGAGCCTAAAATCAGTAGGCTCGTTTATGGCTCGAATGCTTAACGAGCCGGCTCGAGCTCGGCTCGAGCTCGAGTTTGACCGATCTCGATCCGAGCTTTGACCGAGCGGCTCACGAGCGGCTCGGCTCATTTGCACCCCTAGTCTTGCGGCAAATCGGAAGAAGAATGACGTCTTGAGATGTAGACCTCCAAAATCTCTGACCGTTTTATTTTTTTTAGGACGGTCTTCAAAAGCCAAACACCCTACCTCGTTCTAAAGCAAAATTGAGGATTCAAATCCGTCATATTACATTCATTCTTTATTTACATTTTATTTATTTATATATTAGTAAATCATATTGTGATAAATGTTGTTGAATTTGTTTCAATGTAAACATTGCAAATATAGTTGTTTGGTGGTTCTTTTTAATAGTCAACTTTTGTGAAAGGAAATCACCTATATTACTTGAACTGAAGCAAAAAATGTAGATCAAGCTCAACTTGAAAAACCAGATCCTAACTAGACTCGAAATCTGAAAATTGTTTCACTCCTTGAAAAATAGAGTATATCATTTCGCTAACCATACCACAACTTTTGTAAGCAGGCACCACATATGGGGCATGGTCAATATTAATAGCCAACTAAACATATCAACTAACTAAGAAGTATGCAGGCACCAGATACGGTGCACGGTCTCCTCCTCCATCAACTTGTGAAATAATGGGAAAGAGGTACTCCAATAGGAGTCCTGACAGATATATTTATAATAGAAGAGTTGTCAAAATACAAAGTATTCCTAAATAGATATTAGGCACTTTCCTAAATATCTATTAGGTAGATTCCTAATTATATTAGCCTATTACACCCCCTCAAACTGTGCGGGAGATACAACGCGCAAGTTGTCTTTTAAAAAAATAAAATTGCAAACTAAAAAAACTCTTGGTAAATATATCCGTGAGCGGAAGATTAGAAGGCACATCTTTGATAATAAGATCTCCATGAGAATATATGTCTGCAGCAGCAAGCGGCGAACTCAACAGCGCGCTTGAAGCAAGCACCGTGGTCAGCGACGCAGAGAAGGTGGGCTGCGCGGACATAGGCAGCAGCAGGCAGCGAACTCAACGGCATGCTGGAAGCAAGCACCGTGTTCAGCGACGCGAGGGAGGTGATCTGCGCCATATTAGCCACGCTCATCTTCAAAGGATAGGAGACTACCGTAAATGTGGCGGCAGTCGACCCCGAGGCGGCGGTGGCTATAATAAGGTTCATGGGAACCGAAAAAAAGAAAAAAATTGTATCTACAAACCTAGATCTCTTGATACCATGTGAAATAATGGGAAAGAGGTACTCCAATAGGATTCCTGACAGATATATTTATAATAGAAAAGTTGCCAAAATACAAAGTATTCCTAAATAGATATTAGGCAGATTCCTAAATATCTATTAGGTAGATTCCTAATTATATTAGCCTATTACAACTAACTAATAGGAAATGTACCCTTATCAATTTGACCGGGAAGAATTTCCAAAAAAGAAACGGATTACACCCCATGAGGGGGCTCTGACACCGGCTGTGCAGTTAAGTCGAAAGATGCAAATTTGACTTCAATCATAAACTGACAGATAAAGTGGAAGTGAGGTCCAAGTACTTGCACAAGCTCTATGCTTTTTTTCACAGTTATATCTTATCACAGTTGTCAGGATTCGAACCCGAGACTTATTCATTGTATTTTGTGGCACCCACTATATATCTACTAGTTGGACTACCTTCACCGACATCGAGAAGAAATTACATATTCCACACTAATAACCTTGTGATCTGATGACATCACAGCTGATCTCCCAAATAGAAGGTCGCAAGTTCAAGTCTCATCTCAATCAAGGATGTTAGCGTTAACAAAGAGCAGATACTAGCTATAATAGGTTTAGACGTATGTTCCAAAAAAACATATCAAAATGATGATTAATATTTTCTGAAGTGGTCATAAACAATATGACACCATTAGACTTGGCACAAATCCAAAAGACTAAAAGCCCTAATTCAATTGACACTAGATTATAAGAGCTATAATGAATAACCATTAAAGAGGAGAGACATTTAACAATGAAAAATGTAGGAGAACTACCAAATAGGTCATCGAACTTACATAAAAAGTGCATATCATCCCTTATATAGGAGGTTATGTCCGGCCGTCACTATTTGGGACGGTTTCCAGTGGAATTTTTTGATGAAATATTTTGAGCATCTTATTCATTAAGTCTAGTTTATTCATGCCAAATTTCAGCTAAAAATTCAACTAGGAAGGCAGTCAAATGATGTTTAACTATGCAGTTATCTTCAAAAATTCATTTGACTGCCTTCCCGATTGATTTTTAGCTGAAATTTGATATGAATAAACTATACTTAATGAATAAGATGCACAAAAAATCTACCGAGAACCGCCCCAAATGGCGACGATCGGACAGAGCCTCCATAAGAGGTGATTTTCACTTTTTATGTAAGTTCGATGACTTGTTTGATAGTTCTCCCAAAAATGTATACCCTACGCACATAACTACAATGTATTACTTCTTATTGTTTTTATTTGGGGATCTCGGGCTATTTTATTATTGTTACAGAGTATTTCAGTTTACCAGCCTTATTCATTTAATTTCATTATTGACACGCCAAAGAAGTAACATTTAATTTCGTTATATGAATTGCGTAATAATAAAAATAAGTAATACTACCTCCGTCCCTTAAAACTTTGTCAAAGTTGACCAACACAGAAAATTATAAAGTAAAAACTGTGTGATTGAGGTTTGTGGAGAGGAGAAAGAAATAACAGAAACCACAAAATATGGATTAAAAGGAAAAGTGACAAAATTTTTAGGGACGTCCCGAAAAGGAAAGATGACAAAGTTTTAAAGAATGGAGGGAGTATAAACGTTATTTTTATATTTTTATTGTTAAATTGACTAAAGTAACGACAAAGGACAATTTTAGCTATTTTCATATAGTTTTTTCTTTATTTCATCAATAAAATATATTTTAAATAATTTTTTCCCCATAATTTAGCAAATTCATTCAATTAAGTCGCTTCAATCAAAATTTCACAAATTTCAAACGTATTCCGCATCTCAGCCAATATCAATATCACAAAATAGACTGTGTCGTATGTTAATTTTTCCTTGATCGCTTTAATGATTTTAAGTACTTGTGCATTTGGTGTGGCAGAGAGTTGTTTTTATTGGCTAGTATAGTAGTGAACTAGTGATGTTGGACTTGATTACATGCAAAAACCAAGTATTTATTATGATCAAATAAGTGTCTTGGAACCGATTACAGTGGAAGGAGATGCACACACACTAAGAGGCCGTTTGGAACCATAGTTTTTCGGCTTATCAGCCAACTTTTTCACCAAACACGTAATTTTTGCTTTCGCGCGCTGAATTGTGTAATAAGCAGAAAAAAAGTAAGGTTGGAGTTACTTTTCTGGCTGTATTGGCTGAAGTTACTGTAGATGACCATTTTAGCTATTTTTACATATAATTTTTTCTTTATTTTATTAATAAAATATATTTTAAAAATAATTTTGTCTTAAATCAGCAGAATCAACCAATACAGCCACTTCAGCCAGAACTTCATAAATTTCAGCAGAAACAGCCAAATCAGCCGATTTTTGTTCTACCAAACGGGCTCTAAGATTCAAGCTAAGAGTTGATAAAAGTCTATGATTGATCAACATCCTAAGCTAGAAACTACAATTACAATTACCCATAGGGTCAGATTGAAGAGCAAACAATTGTTGCAGGCTGTCCTACAAAGTTGCTAGATACAAAAAAAGGATTGCAGACCTAAAGGGGAAGTACATGTATTCAGATGATCTTGGGAAATGCCATTTTGCCACCATCTTTAACATCCTCAAAAAATAAATAAAGGTACAAACAAGACACTGATTGTGACCGAATCCCACATCCATCTTCCAACTTGTATACAACTGCTACTGTAAACATCTGCTTGTGTAGTTCCTACAACTATACTTATTGGTTTGCTTAGGCTGCACAAAGAATGTTGTTGAGATTACTGATCTCCATAGCCAGAACAAATTATGCAATTCACTAGAAATACTGAAACAAAATGTATCTAAACAGTCAATTCTATCTGCTCTATTGCTCTAAGATAAACTCCACTCCACTCAACTCTTAAAGATGTGGCCATAAACATGCTTATTGGTGAATATCCTACCATATTTAAAAGACAAAAACTTGCATGAGCATCACCTTTGGTGTAAACCATCCTATCTCAGCCACACAAAGTCACAAAGATAAGAGCACAATTGACTCTTTTCAAAGATGTTGAACTTGGGCCAAGAATATATTTTGACAAAAAAAAACATAATGTGAAAAGAACAACAAAAATTGAATTTTTCACTAACATATACTCTAATGGATTAAAAATGAGATGGATTAGACTTTGAAAACTATCACTAATTCATGGCATAAAGTAAGCATAAACATACATTAAACAAAAACAAATTACTCCTTTCATTCCACATTACTTCCCCTGTTTTTTATAGTTCGGTCAATCCTGTGTTCATATTATAACCGATTTTAAGTACCATCTCTTGTCCAATTCAAATCTACTTCCCGCGAAACGGCAGAACTTTTAGTGTATTTTCTAAATATGTAATTTTAATAACTAAGAATAACTTATGAGTTTAAAAGAGAACTAATTTATGCTAGGCAAACGTTGTAAACTGTTCTACACAAGCAATTTTGAAAAAAATGCAAAATTTCCAGCAATTACCTTGATGGGATCTTGCAATTACCAAAACCTGCAAAGCAAAATAGTGAATAAATGTGCCAAAAGCCCAAAACTACTTATGAAATTGGTTTCGAAGATTACTACTTTGAAGTAAAGTTCACATTACTCACTAGGGTTTAGGGAGATAAGAGCAGCGGTGTTCTGGAAATCACAGCTGTCATTAGTCATGTCATTTTTAATGAAGTAATTGTTGAAGGCATAAGTCGCCGTCCGCTGGATGTCGGAGGCGTCGTAGCACGGCCCACCGGGCTGAATGGGCCCACAGTCTGCACCGCCTGCCCCACAGGCCCAGTCAATCGCTGATTGAATCGCAGCGTCCTCGGCGTTGTTCTTGGCCACGCACCAGAGCTCCACCCTCACTCCTCCGTCGCCAACGGAGGCGCTGCCCTCTTGGGCGGTGCAAAACGGAGAGAGTAAATACACCAGAACAGAGAAGTAGAAAACAGGGGACATCTTTGGTGGGGGTAAGAGAGAGAATGAGAGAGGCGTGTAAAATGCCATCAATAACTCCTGCGGTGGTAAAATTTTGATGATTCGAATACAAATTGGTTTTATTATCTTTATATATATAAAAAGGGGACCGTCTGTCCCCTAACTGTTCCCACCTAGGCAATTTACGTGCTCATTAATTAACTGCTGCTAATTTCTAATTTTGGTAACTATTGGGCAATATTTGCAAATTGTAACAGCCACGTCGTTTTAAATCAGTTACGTAGTACTCAGTATTTAACTGCTTGCCCTCCTTTAATCATTCTTTTGTTCTCCGCAGTATTATGGGCCTTATGGCCTTTATGGGTAAGTTCATTCTCTTATTCAAATTATTTCGAGTACATTTATTATCATTGAATCACATGTATAATTTCATTTGTTTATCAATGAGATGAATAACTCCAATAGAAATGGGGTTTGAAGCTTTGCTTTTCCATGAGCAATAGAAGTACCCTGCAAAAAAAGGATGTCAAATATAATATGTATAATGTAGTACTACGTATGAAATAGATGTATCTTCATAGAATCACATACAGGTACGCATTTACCATTTGGTCATGACATGTTAAAAATAAGATTTTTCAAATCTGATGCGTGATGTGGGTCTTATATATGATAATACATCATTGACAGTAAGGTTGTAAATTTGTAATAGTGTAAATGTGTAAGTTCTGATCATCTGATGCATAGACGTGGATGGTTAAAAATCCATAAATACTGTAATTTATTCTTAAAAGTATGATTTATAAGATACTGAGTAGTATAATACGTAGTATAAAAGTCAAACCACAACAAAACACAATAATATGATTTCTATGGGATAAAGAGAGTAATAATATGTAATTTCTTGATTGTTCCTCCCAAAATAACCAGATAATGTGATTCATCTTCCCTCCCTCCACACGCCTTATAATTTAGAATTGGCAGTGAATGAAATTAAAACAGATGAGTTATTTTCATCTTAGGAACAACGTGGTTTTAAACTTTTAATCCCATTACTATTTTTTATGCAAAAGTGCGAGGAGTGGAGGACTGAAAGTCTGCCAGTCTGGAATGAGTTAGTGAATTGATGTACATATGTACTTTAAAGGGTGGACAAAACCATATTCAAATTAAGGGAAATATAATTCGAATTTACGGTGGAGCATGCTTCTTGATAATTGGGAATATATTTAACTTATAATTCTAACTACTTTGAAATAATCACGCAAAAAATATAAACACATTATTGTCCCGTGCATCGCACGGGTACAAATACTAGTTCGTATAAAATTCGAATACCAATATACGTATATTTGATTCCTATGTTATAAGAATATATTCGATTTGTATATACATGAATTATATTGAGAAAATTCCCTAAATAGGAGTAAAAATGTTTTGAAATTCCAAAATAGGAGTATCATGTTTTTTATTCCCTAAATAGGAATAAAATTCTGCCAAGTTTGGCATTACAGGGCTTTTTACATGGCATTTTTTTCCAAACTTGGAAGATTACTCCTATTCAAGGAATAAAAAACGTGATACTCCTATTTTGGAATTTCAAAACGTTTTTGCTCCTATTTAGGGCAATTTCTGAATTATATTTTAGATTATTATATTTATATTTGTAATTTGTAATAATTTAAATTAAAATAACTAAAATAGTTTTTTGTTAGTTTAAATTTAAATTTATTAGGTTAATTAATTTCTTACTTTCACTAATAGTTTTTTTAAGTAATGGTTTTTTGATTAATTGATTTTACAATGTTTACTTTATTTTGAACGGGTTTCCAATTGATTTTTCAAGTAGTTGATTTTTTAAAATAGTTTTGTTAATAGAAATATTTGCGAAAATCGAAGAAAATACATACAAAAGATGATAATGTAAATGTGTGAAAAAATTTCCTCTACAAATATTCGAATTTGAATTTTTGAATATAAATGTATTCGAATATCATTAACTAATCGAATACAAATCTAATTTAAGATTCGAATAATATCCGAATACGAATATGAATATTCGTCAAGTTATACGAATACGAATAGTGTTACTCAGTATTCGATTCGATTCGTTTACAACCCTACCTTCGACTATAACACAATTCACAATTCTAGAACCGAATGAAATACGGAGTAAGAAGCAAGTGTATCCATTGCCTAATATCATTTGTTGAAGTGATTTTGGGAAATGTGGTTTGTAGTACTCCCCCATCTCGTTAGAAGGTTCCCACTTTCATTTTTTGGACGTCTGATAGAAGGTTCTCATTTTCATTGTAGGAAACAATTAACAATCTTAAGTGACAAATTAGTCATTAAATATTAAAAGTAATACATTTATAACATCACAATTATCAATACTAACACAATATAATATATACTTATTAAAATTATTTTTCAAAATATACCCAAAATACTTTATTTAATTATCACCTAAATAACCGTGACGTTTTGCTATGGGAACCTTCCAATGGGATGGAGGTAGTAAAAATTGATACTGTTTGAGAAAAAAGTGATTTTTAAAAATAAAAGTTAGTAGTGTTTGGTAAAATAAGTTCTTTTTTTGTAATAGAAATACTAAAAAACACTTTTTACCCAAAAATCGAGATGTGCTTTTATAAGCAAAAGTTGTCACTTGAAAACACTTATTTTAGTTAGTTTAAACCAAAAACCAAGAAACGTTTTTTTAAGTAATTGCAAACACTACCGAAATACTTTGTATAACGGCACAAGGCAATTTGTGCTGCTAGAGTGGAAAATGGAAATAAGAAGCACATAAATTTGTAAGGAGTAAAGGGTCAGTTTGGTACTCGAAGTTGCATAAAAATGTCAAATAAGTCCTTACTGTCCGGCCGTCGCCATTTGGGGCGATTCCCGATGGAACTTTTGATAAATTTTTTAACTGTCTTATTCATTAAGTCTAGTTTACTCATACCAAATTTCAGCTAAAACTTCAATCGGGAAGGCATTCAAATGAATTCTTGAAGATAACTGCGCTTTTAACCGCGCAGTTATCTTCAAGAATTCATTTGATTGCCTTCCCGATTGAAGTTTTAGCTGAAATTTGGTATGAATAAACTAGACTTAATTAATAAGATGCTCAGAAGATTTCGTCAAAAAATTCCACCGGGAACCGCCCCGAATGGCAACGGCCAGACAGAGCCTCCTATATAAGGACTTATTTGACCCCTTTTATGTAACTGATCATTTACTCAATTTGTAAGGTTTAACTACTTCATGCTTCGGATTTGATATGCAAGTGCCAATACATCTCAATGTATCGAAGTATCGAACCTCTTATGTTATAATTTTTTTTTATCGAAGGTGGCTTAATTCATAAAAATAGCATTCCGTAAGAGTACAAGATAGTAAAAGAATCACATGTAATCATCCGCCCGTGGCCGAGACAGAGAGTTAACCACCTGTAAAAAAGCAGTATAACTCGCTAAACCGAGATTGGGCAACTTAAAGCCAATGATGATTACCATAGAACTTTCGACACCCAAACTGAATGCAAGAGTCTTACAACGCATAAAGAAATAAAAACAAGATATCATAATAAATCCAAAGTAAAAATAAACAAAGCAAAAGATAACAATAGCACCATAATTTAATCTCAGCACCATCAAAAGCAGATAGATCCTCGGCAGGCCTGAGCAAGCTGACCCACCGCCTCCCCATTTTTTGGTCCATCAAGAGCCATGCCTTCTTCAACTACGTCTCCTGCTGCTTGGTTATCCCAAATTCTTCTCCACTTTGTATCTCCGGGAGCTTCCTCCCTTTCCTCTGCTTCTTTCTGTTGTGGACCATTAGTCTTGGATTCAGCCGAAAGCTCTTCCCCGAGATCAGCCTTCCGTTGCTTTCCATATTCACCTGAGCTAGACGCCTCGCTAGATAGCCATTTGTTGGATCCTGTCGGGCTAGTCTTCACACTTCCACCAGCTCTAAGATCTACCCCATAAGATTTTTCAACTACAAAACCTTCTTCATACTTTAAAGGGCAAAATTTGTCAGTGTCCAATTATACCACAAAGAAAACAAAAGCTGGGGAGCTTCTCATACTTGAAATCCACCCAATGCTGGATCCCATCTTTTGTTAAGGTAGTACCCTTTTTCAAAGGCCTACGAACATCTAGGCACACCCTTATACGCAGATAAGAGTTATGATTACCATCATAATGAATCATCTCAAATTTGATGAATGAGCCTAAGAAATTGCCAATTTTCCTGGCCGACCCCAAGTTTCTAAACTTAATAGGGGCATTGTGGACCTGTATCATAAAACTAGCTTCGAATAAATTCATAGACTCAGGAATATCATCAGGCTGAAAAGCTTTCATCAGAATTAAATCACGATCATAAAGCCAAGGACCATCCCCAATCACACGATTCATATCCAAAACACGATTAAAGTTAAGCAGATACTTTTTTTCACCAATTTCCGTAATCGTCATACCTCTCCCTGGCCGCCAAAGCGAAGTCATCAGCTCCTGGAACCCCAGTAGCTTGATTTTCCGATCGGTGACTACAATTCCAACCACCGGGAAGGTATGAGCCTCGGCCTCCTCTTCTCCTTCCTCTGCCGTCTCCTCATCGAAATTGAGCTCGTTCTGCTTCTCTTCGATTGTCTTTCTTTTGTACGAATTAACGATATCCTCCATAAAAAAAAACTACTCGATCGAAGCACCCTGCTATGGCGCCCGTCTGAGCCGAAACTGCCTCGCCTGCTCCGTTAGTCACCGGCGATTCCTTTCCTTCGGCTCTGTTTCTTTATTGATTGCATTTCCTCTTATAATTAATCAATGCTTATGTCAAATAGTTTTTGGTCGAGAATAAAATTAAATCATTTACGGAAGTAGTAAAATCAACTTCAATAACTAAAACATACATATTTGGAAATTATATTGAAAGATTATAAAGTTGCAAAGTCCACATTATAAAATGTTTTATTTCTTTAAATAGGATTAAAGCAATAACAAAGTGCACAAATAGGACTATCGTTGTTTTCTATGACATATTTAGTCCTAATTAGGCAAGTTTAGTACTTTTAGTAAGATTAATTAAATTG